AAATCAATAAATCCAAGAGCTGGTTTTTTGAAAAGATCAACAAAATAGACAGACCACTAGCCAGATTGATTAAAAAGAAAAGAGAGAACAACCAAATAGATGCAATAAAAAATGATAAAGGGGAAATCACCACAGATTCCACAGAAATTCAAACCATCATCAGAGAATATTACAAACAACTCTATGCACATAAACTAGTAAACCTGGAAGAAATGGATAAATTCCTGGACTCCTGCGTCCTCCCAAGCCTAAACCAGGGGGAAGCTGAAACTATGAATAGACCAATAACAAGGGCAGAAGTCGAGGCAGGAATTAAAAGCCTACCACACAAAAAAAGCCCAGGTCCAGACGGGTTCACAGCCGAATTCTACCAGACACACAAGGAGGAGCTGGTACCATTTCTTCTGAAACTATTCCAAATAATCCAAAAAGAAGGAATCCTACCCAAATCATTCTACAAGACCAATATCATCCTGATACCAAAACCCGGCAGAGACCCAACAAGAAAAGAAAACTTCCGGCCAATATCCATGATGAACATAGATGCAAAAATCTTCAATAAAATATTGGCAAGCCGATTGCAACAGCAAATCAAAAAACTTATTCATCATGATCAAGTAGAATTCATCCCGGGGATGCAAGGCTGGTTCAACATACGCAAGTCTATCAACGTAATTCACCACATAAACAGAACCAAAAACAAAAACCACATGATTATCTCAATTGATGCAGAGAAGGCATTTGACAAAATTCAACAGCCCTTTATGCTAAAAACCCTCAATAAACTCGGTATCGATGGAACGTATCTCAAAGTAATAAAAGCTATTTATGACAAACCAACAGCCAATATCATACTGAATGGGCAAAAACTGGAAGCATTCCCTCTGAAATCCGGCACTAGACAAGGATGCCCTCTTTCACCACTCCTATTCAATATAGTACTGGAAGTTGTAGCCACAGCAATCAGGCAAGAAAAAGAAATAAAGGGTATTCAAATAGGAAAGGTGGAAGCCAAATTGTCTCTATTTGCAGACGACATGATAATATACCTAGAAGACCCCATCGCCTCAGCCCAAAAACTCCTGAAACTGATAAGCAACTTCAGCAAAGTCTCAGGATATATAATCAATGTGCAAAAATTACAAGCCCTCCTCTACACCAATAACAGAGTTATAGAGAGCCAAATCAAGAATGAACTGCCATTCACAATTGCTACAAAAAGAATAAAATACCTTGGAATACAACTCACAAGGAACGTAAGGGACCTCTTCAGGGAAAACTACAAACCACTGCTCAACGAAATCAGAGAGGACACAAACAGATGGAGAAACATTCCATGTTCATGGTTAGGAAGAATTAATATCGTGAAAATGGCTATAGTGCCCAAAGTAATTTACAGAATCAACGCTATCCCCATCAAGCTACCATTGACTTTCTTCACAGAACTGGAAAAAACCACCTTGAACTTCATATGGAACCAAAAGAGAGCGCGCATAGCCAAGTCAATTCTAAGCAAAAAGAACACAGCGGGGGGCATCACACTACCGGATTTCAAACTATACTATAAGGCTACAGTAATCAAAACAGCATGGTACTGGTACCAAAACAGAGATATAGATCAATGGACCAGAACAGAGGCATCAGAGGCAACACAACATAGCTACAACCATACAATCTTTGATAAACCTGACAAAAACAAGCAATGGGGAAAGGATTCCCTGTTCAACAAATGGTGTTGGGAAAACTGGCTAGCCATGTGTAGAAAGCAGAAACTGGACCCCTTCCTGACCCCTTACACCAAAATTAACTCCAGATGGATTAAAGACTTAAACATAAGACCCGGCACCATAAAAACCCTAGAAGGAAATCTAGGCAAAACCATCCAGGACATAGGAGTAGGCAAGGACTTCATGAACAAAACACCAAAAGCATTGGCAACAAAAGCCAAAATAGACAAATGGGACCTAATCAAACTCCACAGCTTCTGCATGGCAAAAGAAACAGTCTCTAGTGTGAATCGGCAACCAACAGAATGGGAAAAAATTTTTGCAGTTTACCCATCTGACAAAGGGCTGATATCCAGAATATACAAAGAACTCAAACAGATTTACAGGAAAAAAACAAACAAGCCCATTCAAAAGTGGTCAAAGGATATGAACAGACACTTTACGAAAGAAGACATATATGAGGCCAACAATCATATGAAAAAATACTCATCATCACTGGTCATCAGAGAGATGCAAATCAAAACCACATTGAGATACCATCTCACGCCAGTTAGAATGGCGATCATTAAAAAATCTGGAGACAACAGATGCTGGAGAGGATGTGGAGAAAAAGCAACACTTTTACACTGTTGGTGGGAGTGTAAATTAGTCCAACCATTGTGGAAGACGGTGTGGCGATTCCTCAAGGCCTTAGAAATAGAAATCCCATTTGACCCAGTAATCCCATTACTGGGTATATATCCAAAGGACTATAAATCGTTCTACTACAAGGACACATGCACACGAATGTTCATTGCAGCACTGTTTACAATAGCAAAGACCTGGAATCAACCCAAATGCCCATCAATGATAGACTGGATTGGGAAAATGTGGCACATATACACCATGGAATATTATGCAGCAATCAGAAATGATGAGTTCGTGTCGTTTATAGGGACATGGATGAATCTGGAGAACATCATTCTCAGCAAACTGACACAAGAACAGAAAATGAAATACCGCATATTCTCACTCATAGGCGGGTGATGAAAAAGGAGAACACATGGACACAGGGAGGGGAGTACTAAACACTGGGGTCTATAGGGGGAAAAGGGGAGGGCCAGTGGGAGGGGGAGGTCGGGAGGGATTGCCAGGGGTGAAATACCAAATGTGGGTGAAGGGGAGAAAGCAAACAAAACACACTGCCCTGTGTGTACCTATGCAACTGTATTGCATGCTCTGCACATGTACCCCAAAACCTAAAATGCAATAAAAAAAAAAAGAAAAAAAAAAAATTTTAAGAAATATTTTCAGTCTAGCTTTGATATCTTGAAATATATATTACATTTTTTTGGGAAAAATGAAATTTTATTTATATCTTCTTTAATTTTGCTTTTTAGTATTATTCTTTAGTCAATAATATCAGTCTGGTATACAAAGTAATTTTTTTAAATTAAATGGTTTTAATTTAAAATTAAACTATAAAATATTCCATTAAATAAAAAAAGCACAAATGCAATCTGAAATTTTCATTACAATATGCATCTAATTATCCCCATATTTACTTATATTCTATTTAAAAAGAGATATTTTATTTATAATTAGTCTACTTAAGAATATTGCTCCATAATTATACTGAATGTATTGTGATATACTATGATTAAAATATACATATTAAGGTTTAAAATATTGGGATAGAAATGCTCATGGAAACTAAGATCTGAAATATGTATGCAGCAATCCAACTACATAGAAAACTGCTTTAGAAAAATATAATCTAAGATGATGAACTAATGTTTAATAAAAGAAGGAGGTTACTTTCATAATGTGGTATATTTCTGGCCAATATGAATTCAATTCTACATTTCTCTTAAAATAAGTCATCTAATAAAAAGGTAGTTCCTTTGGTCTTTTTTCTCTTCCATTTCTGGATGGCTTTTTAGATTGGCTAATCTAAATCCTGAGCATTGAAGAAAATCCAAGCAATCCCAAACTATACTCACTTTAGAATATTTCTAGTTCTTTTTCTTTAATCATTATTTATTTACCTTTTTTTTTTTTTTGAGATGGAGTCTTGCTCCATCACCCAGCTGGAGGTGCAGTGACACGATCTCAGCTCACTCCAACTTCCATCTCCTGGGTTCAAGTGATTCTCTTGCTTCAGCCTCCCAAGTAGCTAGGATTACAGGTGTGTGCCACAGTGCCCAGCTAACACCATGCCTGGCTAATTTTTCTATATTTTAGTAGAGAGAGGGTTTCACCATGTTGGCCAGCCTGGTCTCGAACTCCTGGCCTCAAGCGATTCTCCTGCCTCAGCCTCCCGAAGTATTGGGATTACAGGCGTGAGCCACTGCACCTGGCTGTATATTTCTAGTTCTTCATACCACATTTGGCTCCTTTCTTGGCCCTCAACCAATCTAGTCAGTCATGCGTTTTAACATATAAATAGTTCTTGTAAAAGTAATAAAGTTAATTCTTTGCTTAGTTTTCCTTCTTCTCATAAAACTGGGATAATAATCAGCCCAGTGATGACCTCACAGTTTCAGATTTATGATGGAAAAATAACCATATGTTTAAGTATCATGACTTGACTACAGAATCATGCTCCCTTATAAATAAGGCTGGTAATTCATACTTTGTTTTAAAATATTTAGTTATGAATACAAATACCATATTGTAGTGTTTTAAAAACAGAAGGAAAAAATAATAATCCTGCCTCCTAAAACAAATACTTAAATTAAAAAATCTTTATTCTGATAAGTTTCACTTTATGACTTTAGTAAAGGTCTCCCACACTGACCACAAAATGAGTATTTCTAAGCCTCAACAGTAAGAAAGAGCTCAAGATAATGCCCACCTCTTTGGGAGGCTGAATATTCTGTTTACAGGGTGTTTTGTAACATTTCCCAAGCATTACCAGCATGTTCCCAACTCAGGGATCTCCCTCCTGTACTCCTCTCTCAGCTGTCTATGGGCAGGAAGAGAAATCCTAACTCTATATCCAGAGGTTCAAAATTCTACTTCCTTTTTCCTAGATGTCTAACAGAGCTAGGGTACCAAATTACCTTTTATCAATAGGTCTGCCATCTTATAAATTAGGCACATTAGTCTAAAAATTCTGTAATTATAAAGCTGTAGGTATATAAAGATGATGCTATTTCTTTTATTACTGTAAATACTTTAAAACAAAAATTTCCAGGTTTGACTCCATCTCGTGAGAACTCCTGAAACAAAAGAGAAAACCAAAATGCACTACATAAAATATGCTGATGAAGATTTACCCTGAACACATACTTGTCGCTCTAGATCCTGAATTTTTTTGGCATCTGCTGCTTTATCTTTTAAGCGTATCTTCTGCTGAATAGATGGATTCCCAGATTCAGTTTTCAGTTTCTCAATCTGCCAACAAATAAATAACATGTTAAGAAGCATATTTAAACGTAACAGAAAAGCTTCAGGGGGGAAGCATAGTGTTAGTTCACTCATTCATTTATAAATTCCTCAGCAAAATTTGGGAAATTAATTCCTCAAATTCTTTGGGGTCCTCCCAAGTTCCAGGCACTACCAAGATCTGGCAGGAGATATGGAGGGCAAACGAGACAAACTAGGTCCCTGCTCCCAAGATGCTTATGCTCTAGTAGAGGGAGAGAGTTGACATGCTAATAAATAAAGTAAATCAAAGGGGAAATGAAATAACTTCAGAGTGGTAAGGGCTAAGAAGAAAATAAAACAGAATGAAGGGATAGGAACAAAGAGCCAGAAGTTGGGAGATTAGCAGCTACATTAGGAAAGGGAGTCAGGAAAGGTCTTTTCTAGAGAGTAGAAATCAAAGCCAAGAGGAATGAGGACGAGTGAGACACAAAAAGAACTGAGGCAGAGTATTCCAGGCAAAGGAAACAAATGGAACGAGTTCAGCATGTTCAAGAATCAGAGGAGCTCCGATGTGGCTGGAGAAGAGTGACTCAGGGGAGTGTGGTAACTGAGGATGCTGAAGAGGCAGGCAGGGTTTGGACCCCACGGGGTGCCTGACAGGCTGTGATAAGGAGCTTATATTTATTCTTAGTCTAATCTAAAATAGACTATGTATCTAAAAACAAACCAGTGATCTTAATTAATAGTTCAGAGTAATGATGCAATGACAAAAGGTTATACAAAACTGATATTATAGGCAACAGCATTCATCTAGAGAAGAAATACATTCTGAAATGATCTATTACCTCAAGTTTGAGCTTCTCAATTTCCTCATTTGCTTCTCTAAGCCGAAGTGCATCTTTATCTAGAAGTTCCTGGTTTTCAGCATACCACTGTAATCTTTTTTGCAGACGACTGATTTCTCGTTTATGTGTTTCTTCTAAAATTTTTATTTCATATAATTTTTCACCTATAAAATAAAGTTAACTCAATAATCTGCTTGCTGTTCTCCAAAATATGAAAATAAACTAAAATATTTTAAATGAAAACCAGTGCCCATCTAATGACAGCATTATGAAGAAACAAGAAGCATAAAACAACTGATTTACAAAATATAATGTCTAGCTTAATCTATTAGTCAAAGGAAATAAGAGATTGTGTTTATAATCCAAATCATCAACCTTGTAGCAAAGTTGGCTATGTAGAAATTTTTAATAAATTTCTTGTTTTCCACTGACCTTTTAAAAATTATAAAATTTGTTTCCATGGGAAAATAAATGTTGGATTTAAGAAATAATAAAAATGAAGAATGTCTATAATTATATTAAAAAGTAACAATGACAAGCATTCAGGTGTGCTTACTACAATTTACTATTATCTACTACAACAAATTTTTACAATGGGTACTGCTATTATTGTTATTACTCTATTTTACAGATAAGGAAAGCAAATGTCATTTTCTTACAAATAGGTCAAAATGGATTTCTCAGCACATGTCTTACACTGAAGATCAGAATAGTGCAGATGAAAGATCCTATATTTTGCAAATGAGGACTCCTCTGATCTAACTTTCTATCCGTGTGTTCTTCCATTCTAAGTCATGGGACATACTTGTGCAGCCTTTCTCTAACCCTTCACCTTCAAATACTACTACCCGTCAAGGCCCAGCTCAAATGCCACTCTGTCCCAAAACCCTCATTAGGTATCCCAATTCCTCTCATGTTTGTAATTTTTTTCTTACATTACAGTTTTCTGATCTTACTTCCCTTGGTTTTTGTGGTACAGACCATGCCACATTTATCTATGTGTTCTTTATAAAACCCAGTGCACTATTATTTATTCATTTGGCAAATACTAAACAGCCTACCAAGTTTCAGACCCAGGGAAAAGAAGACAGGCCTTGCCCTCAAGAAGGTCACAGTCTAGGTCGGATGACAGACGTGAACAACCAAACATAAATACCATGAATCCAAAATCTTTTCTCTACTCTTGCAATTATTCCTGTTAAACCCAATTAGATTCACACATCTTTTAATAACTAATTTTAAGAAACATTTCTAAAATTATAATATACTTCAAGGAATAGCATTTTGATTATACCATTCAATTTCTATTACTTAAATTCAACATTAGAACAGTTAGGATTATAAAGGTACACTATTTCAGTTCAGTGTTTTACCTGTGACATAAGCAATCTGATCTTTGGCTTGGTCCCTCTCTTTCTTCATTTTTTCCAAGTCTACTTCAAGAGCTTGTTTGTCTTGTTTCAGTCTTTTGATGTCTTCCAATAAACTGTTTTTTTCTTTCTTGATATTCAAAGAAATATAAAAGCAACGGTTTTTCCAACCACAATAAATTGTGGTATAGTGTTTCTTTCACCCAATCCATCATGAATACTGCTGCAAAATATTTTCTCAAAATTTTAGCTCTGATGCTATTACTACCACCTGCCCCACCACAGAATTTTTTCATGTCTTCTGATAGCCTATTTGAATCTGCTCTACCTCAGCACTGTATTAAAGACCTTTTAATCTATTGTTCAAACTTCTTTCATATACTAACCATATTGAAGACCCACTAATTCTCTTGCTTAAATAACTGTAATAAGCTCTTAACAACTAGTATGCCTCTTCTACTTCTGGCCCCTACAGTCTATTCTCACAGCAGCCACAGGGATTGTTGTAGAGTCAGTGAATGTCATGCTCCACCAAAAACTCTCTGCTGGCTGGGTGCAGTAGCTCATGCCTGTAATCCCAGCACTTTGGGAGGCTGAGGCAGCCAGATCACCTGAAGTTAGAAGTTCGAGACCATTCTGGCGAACATAGTGAAACCCCGTTTCTATTAAAAATACAAAAATTAGCTTGGTGTGGTGGCATGCAACTGTAGTCCCAGCTACTCGGGAGGCTGAGGCAGGAAATGACTTGAACCTGGGAGGCGGAGATTGCAATGAGCTGAGATCACGCCACTGCAATCCAGCCTGGGTGACAGAGTGAGACTCTGTCTCAAAACACAGCTAAAGCAGTGTTACAGGTAAATTTATAGCACCAAATGACCACAGCAGAAAGTGGGAAAGATCTAAAATCGACACCCTAACATCTTACACACACACACACACACACACACACACACCAGAGAAGCATAAGCAAACAAATTCAAAAGCTAGCAGAAGACAAGAAATAACTAAGATAAGCGCAGAACTGAAGAAGACAGAGCCACGAAAAACCCTAAAAAAAAAAAAAAGAAAAAAAATCAATGAATCCAGGAGCTGTTTTTTTTTTTTTTTTTTGGAAAAGATTAAATAGATAGACCACTAGCCAGACTAATGAAGAAGAGAGAAGAATCAAACAGACACAATAAAAAATGATAAAGGGGATATTACCACTGTTCCCACACAAATACAAACTACCCGACAGAATACTATAAACACCTCTACACAAATAAACTAGAAAATCTAAAATAAACAGATAAATTCTTGGACAATGCACCCTCCCAAGACTAAACCAGGAAGCAGTTGAATCCCTGAATAGACAAATAACAAGTTCTGAAATTGAGGCAGTAATTAATAGCCTACCAACCAAAAAAGCCCAGGACCAGACAGATTCACAGCAGAATTCTACCAGAGGTACAAAGAGGAGCTGGTACTATTCCTTCTGAAACTATTCCAAACAACAGAAAAACATGGATTCCTCCCTAATTCATTTTATGAGACCAGCATCATCCTGATACCAAAACCTGGCAGAGACACAACAACAACAAAAAAATTTAGGACAATATCCCTGATGAACATCGATGCAAAAATTCTCAATACAATACTGGCAAACTGAATTCAGTAGCACATCAAAAAGCTTTTCCACCATGATCAAGTTGGCTTCATCCCTGAGATGCAAGGCTGGTTGAACATACACAAATCAATAAACATAATTCATCACATAAACAGAACCAATGACAAAAACCACATGATTATCTTAATAAATGCAGAGAAGGCCTTCAACAAAATTCAACACCGCTTCATGCTAAAAACACTCAATAAATTAGGAATTGATAGAACGTATCTCAAAACAGTAAGGGCTATCTATGACAAACCATAGCCAATATCATACTGAATGAGCAAAAGCTGGAAGCATTCCCTTTGAAAACCAGCAAAAGACAAGAATGCCGTCTCTCACCACTCCTACTGAACATAGTATAGGAAGTTCTATTGAGAGCAATCAGGCAAGAGAAAGAAATAAAGAGTATTTGAATAGAAAGACAGGAAGTCAAATTGTCCGTTTCTGAATGACATAACTGTATATTTAGGAAACCCCATCAACTCAGTCCAAAAAATCCTTAAGCTGATAAGTAACTTCAGCAAAGTCTCAGATACAAAATCAATGTGCAAAAATCACAAGCATTCCTATATATCAATAACAGACAAGCAGAAAGCCAAATCATGAGTGAACTCCCATTTACAATTGCTACAAAGAGAAAAAAATAACTAGGAATACAACTTACAAGGGATGTGAAGGACCTCTTCAAGGATCACTGCTCGAGGAAATAAGAGATGACACAAACAAATGGAAAAACATTCCACGCTCATGGATAGGAAGAATGCTTATCATGAAAATGGCCATACTGTCCAAAGTAATTTACAGATTCAATGCTATTCCCACCAAGCTACCACTGACTTTCTTCACAGAACTGGAAAAAACTACCTTAAATTTTATATGGAACTAAAAAGAGCCCATATAGCCAAGACAATCCTAAGCAAAAAGAACAAAGCTAGAGGCATCATGCTACCGGACTTCAAACTATACTACAAGCCTATGGTAACTAAAACAGCATGGTATTGGTCCCAAAACAGACACACAGACCAATGGAACAGAACAGAGGCCTCAGAAATAACACCACATATCTATAACCATATATCTATAACCACTTATTTTTGACAAAACTGACAAAAATAAGCAATGGAGAAATAATTCCCTATTTAATAAATGGTGCTGGGAAAACTGGCTAGCCATATGCAGAAAACAGAAACTGGACCCCTTCCTTACACCTTGTACAAAACTCAAGATGGATTAAAGACTTAAACCTAAGACCTGAAAACCATGAAAACCCTAGAAGAAAACCTAGGCAATACCATTTAGGACACAGGCATGAGCAAAGACTTCATGACTAAAACACCAAAAGCTATTGCAACAAAAGCCAAAATTGACAAATAGGATCTAATTAAACTAAAGAGCTTTTCTGCTCAGCAAAACAAACTATCATCAGAGCGAACAGGCAATCAACAGAATGGGAGAAAATTTTTGCAATCTATCCATCTGACAAAGGGCTAATATCCAGAATCTACAAGGAACTTAAACAAATTAAAAAAAAAACAAAAACAAAAACCAAAAAACCAACCAACCAACCCACCTATCAAAAAGTAGGTGAAGGATATGGACAGATTCTTCTCAAAAGAAGACATTTATGCAACCAACAAACACATGAAATAAAGCTCAGCATCATTGGTCATTAGAGAAATGCAAATAAAAACCACAATGAGATACCATCTCATGCCATTAGAATGGCTATCATTAAAAGGTCTGGAAACAATAGATGCCAGTGAGATATGGAGAAATAGGAATGTTTTTACATTGTTAGTGAGAATGTAAATTAGTTCGACCATTGTGGAAGACACTGCGGTAATTTCCCAAGGATCTAGAACTAGAAATACCATTTAACCCAGCAAGCCCATTACTGGTTATATACCCAAAGAATTATAAGTCATCTACTACAAAGACACATGCACGTGTATGTTTATTGCAGCACTGTAGCACTGTTTACAATAGCAAAGACTTGGAATCAACCCAAATGCCTATCAATGATAGACTGGAAAGAGAAAATGTTGCACATATACACCATGGAATACTATGCAGCCATAAAAAAGAATGAGTTCATGTCCTTTGCAGGGATATGGATGAAGCTGGAAATCATCATCCTCAACAAACTAATACAAGAACAGAAAACAAACACTGCATGTTCTCACTCATGAGTGGGAGCTGAACAGTGAGAAAACCTGGACACAGAAAGGGGAACATCACACATGGGGGCCTGTTGGGGCTTGGGGAACAAGGGGAGGAGGAACCTTAGGACAAATACCTAATGTGTGTGGGACTTAAAACCTACATGATATGTTGATAGGTGCAGCAAACCACCATGGAACATGTATACTATGGAACAAACCTGCACATTCAGCACATGTATCCTAGAACATAAAGCCAAACAAGACAAGACAAAACAAAACAAACAAAAAACAAAACTCTGCTGGCTCCTTGCAGGGTTATCCCAAAGTCCTTACTATAACCTTTAGTGTCATATAACCCAGTCTTACCCATGACTGATCACCTCTTCTATAAATCCCTACCCATTTCACTCTAGCTGAAGATCTCCTTACTGTTCTTTGAACACTCCTACCTCAGTGAGTCTGCACTGTCTCTTCTGTTTGCAGTGTTCTGGGCCCAGATAGCCAGGGAGTTTCCTCTTTCACTTCATCAGGATTTCTGCTCACCCTTTAGTGTCATGTAACACAGCTTTATCCATGACTGATCACCTCTTCTATAAATCCCTACCCATTTCACTCTAGCCGAAGACCTCCTTGCTGTTCTTTGAACACTCCTACCTCAGTGAGTCTGCACTGTCTCTTCTGTTTGAAGTGCTCTGGGGCCCAGATAGCCAGGTAGTTTCGTCCTTCACTTTATCATGATTTCTGCTTACATGAAGCCCCAGAAGGTCATCCTGACCACCCTATCTGAAATAGCAAGCCCCATCCTGGCCCGCAGGCACAGTTTCATTTTTTTCTCACAGCACTCACCACTACCTGACGTATTGTCTATTTACATGAAAGCAGGATTTCATTTCGCCAAACTTTGTATCATAAATGTGTAAAAAATGCTTGGGACATCAAAAAATAAAAATGGAATTCTCAATATGCACTACATTCCATACTACTCTCGATAGATCCAAGTGTTGTGCTCCATTCTTCTGCTTGACAAAAATCATACTATCTTTCAAAGCTCAGTTCAAATTAAGCTAAGCTATTCCTGATCACTCCCTCTTCTGTCTCCCACAAACTTCAGCTGTACCTCTGGTATGGCATTTATTACTGTTTCATATGACAGTGATTCATGTATAACCTCTTCTCTTTATTAGGCGGAAGGCTCTATGGGGACCAAGACTGATTAATATTACCTTTTTACTTTATGGCAATAAGTGCATGGCATATATTAGATAAATGCACACTAAACTGAACTTATGAAACTACTAGACTCGACAGCAGTCAACTTGGTATTTAAGTTTCAAAATGACAAGTTCTTACAAACTGTTTTACAATTTAAAATTCACTCGTCGAAAATAAGAGCATTTGTAAAGCATTGTATAGTCTTAGTTTCTAGCTGCACCATGGATTTAACTGCATCATTTCATTGTTTAATCTTCTGTAGATGTCCTTTCAGAAGAGCACTGAAACTAACACTGATCTAAAAGTTGCTGAATGCTCTTTCTGCAAAAACCTTTTGCTTAATTAGTTCTATCAATTTAGAAATGTTCTCTATCAGTGTCTACTTCATGGAATTACAGTATTTTAGAATTCAAAGAACTGTAAACATCTTGAGTTCAATTATGCAATCAATGCTTACATGGATATCCACTCTAGGCTTGTATATTTCTAGGGACAGAAAATGCCCACCTTCAAGAAAGCCAAGTATGCCCCATGTTAAACCTGTGGGCCAGAGGTTTTTGGCTAGCAAGTACTTTTCCTCTCTCCCAAGTTACTATGCAGACATTCAGAGAAGCCTCTGCCACTTTTGTTTTTACCTACATACGCTTCAAAGGCCTCTGGCTTCTGGAAGGTAACAAACTCAGGCTTTTGCATTTGCTCTTTCCCCAGGCTTGAAGTCTCAATCTTTGCACAGTTGGCTGTTTCTCTTCATCAGCTCTCAACTCAAACATCTCTTTCTCACAGAGAGCTTTCCTGTCAACACTTTAAATGCTGCCTTACCTCTAACTCATCATTCATTATTCTCTATTTTCATTTTCTTCAAAGCACATCTATCTGTAATTATTTGTGTATCTGTTGTCTGTCTTCTTCTCTAGAACATATGTTTCTGGTGAGCAAAATCTGTGTCTGTCTTATTTACCTACTGTATTTCCAATGCTTGGATGAGTGCCTGGTGCATGGCAGGTGTTCAATAAAGGCTTTCTGAATAAATGAGTTGAAGTCAGCCCCATTCTCCTCCCAACCCTGGGATACTAAAGGAAAGGGCTCAGGAACTTACTTTTTATTACACTTCCACCATACTTTAAAACCAACTGACATTTTAAGAATATACCAATTGGTACTAATTTTTAAGGTGTTAGGTAGACTATACACAAATATACTTGACAAGATTATTTTGGAGATTTGTCCCAGTATAATTTTTGCTCTAAAACTATTTAAGAGTACCAAAGTAAATGAAAATAAAGGTATGTATACATTGTCTTGCAGTATGAGCATAAAAAACTTCCCAAATAATTTTTACTATTATCTTAAACTAACACCTTTCTCCCCACGACCCCTGATTTCTTTTAGGCTTCCCTTGACTTTGGCAGCTTCATCATGATGGGAGTAGATGTGGATTTTTACTTATTTATGTTGAGTGGGACTTACTGTGCTTCCTAAATTTGAGAATTCATCTTTTATCACTTCTAGAGAATCCTCAGCCATTACCTATTAAAAATATTTAAATATGCATTAGGGCATCTCATTTCTGATATTTTGCATTTTTCTATTTTTCTGTTTCACTCCGAGTTCCCTTAAATTGCTTCTTTCAGTTTAATGTTTTTCTTAGTTGTTTATGATCACCTATTTAATTCTACTTACTTCTTAATTTCCGGCATTATATTTCATTCCCAAAGCTCTGTTTAATGTTATTTTGAATTTGCCTGGCCTGTTTTGTTCTTTTTGCATATTTTCTCATTTATTTAGTGTATTTAAGCACTTTAAGTCTATTTATTTTATAGACTCTATTCAATAATTCTATTGGGGTTCTAATCCTGCTGAAGCAACTCTTGCCTGTTGATGGTGGGCTGTTTTTCTAGATTTTGTAATTTTGCACTGTGAGCAGATAGATCATCAGCTGGATTTTATCTGTGGGAATATTGTGTGAGCTGGGTTAAAAGGTGTATACCTCTAAGAATGTTTTGCATTTGTTTCTTCTAAATCCACCAGAGGTTATCACTGACTCAGAACTACTGTTTGTTATTTTTTTTAGTTTGAGCATTGCAAGGTAGTGTCAATTCAAATACTAAACACAAATGTGGCAGAAGAGGTAATACTTACATTGAAAAATCAGTAAAGTACGTGCAGAGGAGACTTGTTTTCTCTCCCCACCCAAAGACCAAGTTAAGACAGAAAAGCTTTCTTGACATCTCAGCTTCTTTTTTCCTAATCCACGATTTTAGTGAAAGATGTGGTCCGTTAAGGGTATCCCGTCTACACTTTGCTGTTAAAGCTCAGGCCTCAGGCTGGTGCGGTGGGTCATACCTGCAATCCCAGTACTTTGGGAGGCCTAGGCGAGCAGATCACCTGAGATCAGGAGTTCAAGACCAGCCTGACCATGATGGAGAAACCCTGTTTCTACTAAAAATACAAAATTAGCTGGGTGTGGTGGTGCATGCCTGTAATCCCAGCTACTCAGAAGGCTGAGGCAGGAGAATCTCTTCAACCCGGGAGGCAGAGGATGTGGTAGGCAGATATCACACCACTGCACTACAGCCTGGGCAACAAAAGTGAAACTCCATCACAAAACAAAACAAAAACGAATACAAAACAAAAACTAACAAGCAAAATAGTTCAGGCCTCTTGGTTATTAAACTCATGGCTGTTTTTTTATCCCTCCTTTCTTTTGGCTCCTAAAAATTTCCCTTACTTTCTTGAGAACATGGTTATCCACTTACAAGGTATTTATTATTTTTTTCCAGTATCTTTTGGTGTTGTTAGTGGTAGTTTTCAATTTTTCTGTCATTAAAATATGTTCAAAACAGAACTTTTAAAAGGTAAAAACAACAGCCTTTGAAACTAATGCTAACGCTGTGCTTGAAACCTTACTTTGTTCCCCCAAGCCTTCATAAAATATGGTAATATTAATTTGTTTTAGCTTGCTAATTTTTGAGGTCCACTGATGGCGGGGGTGGAAAGGGTGTCATCCAATCATTCATTCACCTTTCTACCTATCTTCCTAGCTATACATATGCATCCAAAGGAAATTCCCTATAATGGATTCATATGTAAAGCTGCATTTTATATACTACAAAACCCTATTAAACGTTTATTAACGTTTAATATCTATTTCTATGTAACCTAACTTTGTGTGGTAAATTTCTTATTAAAAAGTAACTGAAATTTTTCTAATTTACATAATCATTGAAATATATTGATATATTGGGAGGGCTTTTTAGTTTAGTGCTATGATTCTCAAAGGGTGGGGTGGGAAGAAGTAACTGTCATCTACAGGCCATGTTTGGAAATGTGGCAGAGTGGTTTTAACTTTTACAATGACTGTTGGGTATTATGAACACGTAGTTCCTGGGACAGTAAAAAGCATGCAGTGTATGAATTACTACTGCTTAAAATAGAACTATCCTGCCCTAAATTCCCAGACTCCTCTTATTGATAAATACTGTGTTAGAAAACTCTAGGCCATATTCTTTATAATACGATTTAATAAACATAAAAAAGATGAAGCAGCACTGCATTTCAACTTTATGTTAAATATGTGGGATATCAATACTTGTAAGATCCAGTCTCTGCTCTCCAGAAGGGCACAGTCTACTTCAGAAGACAGGTAGAAAGCTACTAACTTTTAAAAGTAAACAATTATCTCCAAATTACACTATTTAGGCTGCATGCTTTTGAATAAGGAATTTGTTTGAAATAAGTTATACATGTGCTAAATAAAATCATGCCTCTGATATGGCTCCATGATAAATAAGCCTGATTAAATGTGATAAACGCCTGATGAGGCTGAATCATAAAGACAATGACATCTAAAACCAGTATTGTATCGTTTCCTCTATACTACATGTGTACACTACATGCTAATCTATTTCTCCCTAATTTTTAAATAGCATGAAACTTACAGTTTTTGTAAATTAACATGGGGATTTTTATTTAAAAAAAACCTTTATTATCCCTAATATTAAAATCCTTATGCAACTTACCTGTGCCATCCGTAGTTCTGCTAACAGATCTGTAAAATTCTGGTTTCTGGTGGGCTCTGAATCTTCAACTACTTGAGACAGAAAACGACTTTTGTGCATCTGTTCTCTGATTTATTTTGAAAATAAAAAGTTGTTTTTCTTTCTTACCAGGTGTTACTTTCAGTAGAAAATATTTAATTCTTAAAAATTAAAAACTAACATACATTGAAACTATATGCAAAAATGAAGGTAAAATTTTTATTTAATCTAAAGATTAACATACTAGTATACTAAAAGAGAAATACACTTTAAGGGAAATGCTTATTCTAAAAGAACTGAAACTTAAGATTATTGGTTTATTTATAATATACAAATATTTCTTCCCAATTCTCAAAGAAAAAAAATTTATGGCCCACAAAGATGTGCTGGATTTTTCCTGTGGGGTTGTTAACATACTCCTTATCATATTGTTTTAGAATCTTCTCTGAGAGCTGCCAGTCTCATACATGGAAACAAACAAAACCAAACACAGCCTAATATTTGGACCTTAGATTCAATTTTCCTGTTATTCCAGAGATAATATACATGGAGTTTCAGATTCCATAGAAGATTATCTAACCCTAATATATTAAAGAAACCATTTATTTCATTCTGAAAGCTAACTTAGAGCTTCAGTTTTGGATCCTGGGATAGATCTTCTTTTAGAAGCCAAGTAATGTAAGATATTTTAAAATAACTTTACTGAAGCTTCTGGGAAAACAAAGCAGAAGTAAATGTATTCATGCATTACAACCGTGCAGATTATCACACGTGGCCTGGGGCTACATTTACCAACCTACCAGAAGAAAGAGGAGATACATATATGTACATATTGCTTCTCTCTGTACACTACACACACACACACACACACACACACACATACACCATACACAGGTGTGTGTGTGTATATATGGTGTGTATATATACACTATACATATATAGTGTATATCTATAGAGAGGCAATATGTACATATATGTTGCCTCTCACAATTGTCTGTGTGTGTGTGTATATATATATATGTAAATATACACATACAATGGGGCTCTCTGTTTGGTAACCTGTGAAGCTGCTGGCTTTGTCTGCTACCAAGTGTGCCTTTTTCTATTTTGCATGAAAGATCAGTATGAGATATTTTTAGCAGCCTTGCCTCTCAGGCCCCTAGGTTATATAACCAAAAAAAGGGGGAGAAGTGGCCGGGTATGGTGCCTCTTTGGGAGGCCGAGGCAGGCAGATCACTTGAAGTCAGGAGTTTAAGACCAGCCTGGCCAACATGGTGAAACCCCGTCTCTACTAAAAATATAAAAATTAGCCGGGTGTGGTGACATGCATCTGTAGTCCCAGCTACTAGGGAAGCTGAGCAGGAGAATCACTTGAACCAGAAAGGCGGAGGTTGCAATGACCTGAGATCCCGCCACTGCACTCCATCCTGGGCAACAGTGTAGACTCTGTCTCAAAAAAGAAAAGGGGAGAAGTATATAAATAAATTTGGTTAACATTCATGATATTCATGGGTCAAAGAAATTTCTGGTAACAGTCCTTTGTGAGCAATAAGGTGTTTATATAAAAGGATATACAAATAGTGGTCATTTTCTAAAAGAAGACAATATCCCAGCTTGTCCATGTTCATGGGCTTGGCCTTTTCACTTAATATGTTAAAGTTGGAAGCAGTAACATCCGAAACACCTTATAGTTTGAAATATGATTCCTAAGTAGGTGCTGGTGCTCCATTATCCTGCTGTGATGAGTGCTGGCTAAGAAGAACTCACAAGTGCTCCTTTAAACAGCAGTCCCTGTACCCTGGCATAAAGGGCAGCCCCCACACCCTGCCATGGTATACTCCAGCCAGTGACGGAGGCTGCCTCCATGCCTCAAGCAGGAACCAACTCTGGTACAATCTATTCTCCAGAGCTTCTTGGTGGGAGGAGAATGAGGCCAGTCTCCAGCTGAGATCATTACCTGCCCTCCCTGTACCTCCCCTACCCTGCTTCCCCTGCTCCCTTCTCTTGAGTGTTAGCCTTCAGCGTATCATCTCTACAAGGACCTACACTATCTCAAGCTCTGCTTCTACGGAACCTGACCTAAGATCCTAAGTGATACTGTATGACCTTTCTATTTTAGGATTATAAATCACGTGGTTCCTTGGGAAATGGTAAATTATCTCATTCTTAATGAATAATGAAGAGGAATACTGTATATTCAATTGTTTGAAACTGATATTTAAATCACTTATGAACATAAATTCATATAAATTCAAATATGAATATGCTGAAAATAGTATAAAGTATGTGCTAGCCATCTAACACCAAAAGAAAAATCCACTGAATATTAAATATATAAACTGGAAATGAGTGTACAAATAAAAATAAAGTTTTACTATGTCTAAGTAAAAACAAATATATTATTAACATAGTAAGAACATGCTTAGATACAGTCTAAGTATATTTGGTTTTAAGAACTTCAAAAGGACTTACTTTAAGGAAGCTACCTCGCTGAATAAACTCTGATTTTCCTTAAACATTCGCTCCTCATTTTTCTTGTTTTGTTCTTGGAGATCTTTTACTTGATTATATAATCGTTCATTTTCCTTTTTAAAAACAGAGAATTGCATTTTAGTTAAAAGTCATCAGTACTTACACATTATATGTGCTCATAATACAGTAATCCTTTAAATGGCCTTTTAAGTTTCTTTAATTTTTGAGTATGTAAATCTTTCTTAAACTTTTTATATTGTCTCAGAAGAAAACTTGGTGTCTAAAAACAGTTCTTTCCAGAATGTTTAAAATGCCTACTTGAAAAATTAATTTGCAAAAATTCCCAAAGCCAAAGGGCCTAAGGTCAATTTAATGCACTGCATTTTGTAAGTGTTAAGTGGGAGAGTGGCTGAAGAAATCACTACATCCTGACTGTGTGGACACTGGTGGAAAGGCCCAGTGAAACCCTTTACATTCTTTTCTGTTTCTGGTCTGAGAGAGGGGAAAAAAAAAATCACTCCTGGAGAAGATTCTGCAGGTCTGGCTTCTAGTGATGAGACAATCAGATGTACTTAGGGGTGTTCATGCTTTTATCTGATACTGACCTTAACCAGGGCGTTAAAGACTGGTGTTTCTGAAAGTTGTCAGGACAAGGCAGAACAGAGGACAGATCCAGTACATCACAGGCTTGAGCTAAAGAGTGACTCAACTAGTTGAGACCAGAGGGAGAAAAGAAGGTGCCAATCTGCACTTAGATGCCCTCCCTGGCTTATTAACCTCTTTAAAATTAAAAATCAGATCAAGGACTTTTGAGGATCTCATGCAAATGATAGACTGTTTCACCATGTCTGGAATTGTGCCTGATAGACAGCCTGTGCTTAAATACCTGCAGAATTAGTGAACATCCTCTACTATTTAGACGTATAAATTTTGTGTTGTCTTTGTTGGAGGGGTTGGTTGGCACACTTATGGGTCTGTTAAATTTTATTTAAAACCACTGTATTTTAATGGCAAGATCAAACTGGCAGAAGAGTTTGAATGGTTCCCAGTAACTGAGGGCAGTGGGTCCTGCAAAATCATTCCAATTCAGTTACAACAAACATTGTAATCACTGATGTGGCAATAGTTTTGCTGATGTCCCTGGGTGATAATGCCTGTTACTAAGGCTCAAGGTTCAAGTTTTAGTTGTCAAAAGAGAAGAATATAATGAAAGACAAGAAGGGAGAGAAATAAGAAAAAATGGGTGTGGGAGGCACACAACAAAGATAAAGTTTTATGATGAAGATAGCTACACCTGTCCTGGCTGTCAGGCTAGCAACACCAAGATGCCATCACACATTGCAAACATCTGCCTCTGTAGGACGCACAGATCTTCTTGCATTAAATTCAAAATTTTTTCACCCTCAGGGCGTTAGCAATTAATTTCAGATCATATTTCTGAATATAGTAACAAAATCCGTCAATATTATCTACTGAAGAGCATTATAGAAAACTAAGATAGGACAAATTTCTAAGAAATTGACTATTAAAAATAACAACAGGTAACACTCATTGACTGACTGCTGTGTGCCGCACTAAGAGTGTACAGATGCTCCTCAACTTGCTTGCCCCTCAAACGGCTATATTCCATTAAGCCCAAAGTAAGTAAAAAATATTCTAAGTTGAAAATGCACTTAATACCCTGATGAACCCACTGTAAAGTTGAAAAATAGTAAGTAAAACTTATGATGAGGTTACATCCTGATAAGCCCATCATAAAAGTTAAAACTTTGTTAGGTTAAACCACTGGAAGTTGGGGATCCTCTATATTAACCCCACTTCACAGATGAAGAAACTGGATTAGAAAGGTTAAGTGATACCCAAGGCACACAGCAAGTGGTAGAGCTAATACTCAAAACCAGATTTTTCCAATCCAGTACCCATACTCTTAATGTTTAATTCTGCTCATAAGCAATATATAGATTAGTCAAATTATTACTCCCTAGTATTCGCCAGATTTCTCATTATCTGTTAAATAAGCACAGAAATATTTTAATATGCTTTATTTTTTTTGAGATGGAGTCTCACGATGTCACCCAGGCTGGAGTGCTGTGATGTGAACTCGGCTTACTGCAACCACTGCCTTCTAGGTTCAAGTGATTCTCCTGCCTCAGCCTCCTGAGTAGCTGGGATGACAGGTGTGCTCCACCATGCCCAGTTAATTTTTTTATTTTTATTTTTAGTAGAGATAGGATTTCACCATGTTGGCCAGGCTGGTGAACTCCTGACCTTGGGTGATCCGCCTGCCTCATCCTCCCAAAGTGCTGGGATTACAAGCATGAGCTACCACACCCAGCCTGGCTTATTTTTATAAATAAAAGATCAAGAGTAAATTTGCCATGTGCTTAAGAATTGCCATACCTGTTGATATCCTTGAAGAAGTGTCTCCTGTTCTTGTATTTCTTTTTGGATTTGCTTCAATTTTTCTCCAGTGACAGGATCAGCTGCTTCTCCGAAATGTAACCACCTTTGTTTTTTGTTTGTTTCTTCAAAGCTGCTTAACTTTGATAAAATGCAAAACTTGTTTTATTTGAGGAAGGAAATAACATGAGAAGTGAAAAAGAATAAGAGAAAACTCCTATTGGATCCAAAGCTGTATTATAATACTGAACACGTTGGAATGTGACATAACTACATTTAAATCTGCAAATTGCTGTTTTGTGCTGATGGTTTTGGGTGAGTAAAGTAACTCACAAATGCTATACAGTGTCATTCTCTGGGTCTATACCTTCTATAGCAGTTCTTATTCAAACTTTGATTTCTTTGAAGGTCAGAATGAACTAACTGATTTTTTTAAAAAAAGGACTGCTAATAGAAGAAAAGCATCAAAATGAGCCAATTTAAACTTAATTTTCTCCCCAAGGTTCAAAATTTAGGCTCTCATGTAAGGAATCACTCTTGGAACCCTGTCTATATTTTTATACAGCAAATATATTAGGTCAAACACCTCTAGTAACCAAGGATGACAGTGTATTTAGCAGGTAGTACAAGTTTGTTTGTTTTTTTTTAAATAAATATAAAGAAAAACAGAACAATGTGGCTAGTACCTTGGCTTGAAGAATATAATTATCTTGATTCAATTTGAAGAGTTCTTTTTCCTGTTGTTTCTTTAATTCTTCTAACTTATTTTCTAGTTCTTTCTCTTTTTCTGAGAATGTGACTTTAATTTGCTCAATTAGGGCTTGTGCACCCCTCCATTTTTCCTCTGCTTCATGTACTCTTTTAAACATAAGTAATTCCTTCTCCTTGTTCTCACCACAGTAACCTAAGAAATCCTTTCAAGAAGAAGTATTACTTCATTATAGTAGACTTATGTGTAAGATTTGAACACAGGTGGTTAAAAAAAAGAAATGAAAAGGACATAGTTAATAATGTTCGGTTATATAAGAAAATCAATAACTGTTCAGTAAGAGTGATTACAGTATCACTTGAAGAAAAAGACATTTCAAATGCTTATATTATTTATAATTTAGTTTTAATATAATTTTGAACATAAAAACATTATGATTATTAACTTTGAATTTAATACTTACCGTATGAAGTTGAATACAGAAATCAGTTTCTGTGGGATCTTCAAACTTCTGAGGAGTAGCCAGGCAACTTTCAGTTTTGAGAGCTGGTTTATCCAAAGCTGCAGGCTTGATGAGTTTTGTTCCAGATAAGATTTCTAAATGGTACAAACAATTATAAATGCACCACAAATGTAAAGTTAAATGTTTACTCATCAATTGTGTCGAATAACTACAAATACAGTGGAAACAAAAAATGAGGATCTCAAAATAGGCTGATGGACTACACTATAATACAGCTGTTTCACTGTTTCACTATGATACCTGATGGCATTCAGAACTATTGCCACCCCATAATCAACATTCTCCTAAATTTAACACAGATGGCTAATTAACCCAAGAATCATGTCAAATGACAAATGGAGCTAAATAAATGTGAGAATGTAAATAGGGATAACTTTCAGAGTTTATTACTTTTAAACAAATTCTTCTGTTAAATGCTCATAGCAATAGTCAATCAAAATTTCTAAATGACAAATCAAGGAGCAGCTGATAACTTTATGAAACATTTTGATGCAGATTAAGTGTGCTTTCAGAGCACATTTTTAATAAACAATGTATATCATGATATAGTATCAATGGAATAACAGAAATTTCATAGAGGATTTTATAACTGTTAATCTAAATCTGATTTTAAGATTAATAAAAACCTGGCAATATATATTAAATTAGAAAAAACTGTGATTAATACATATTCTGTTCCAACTGTCAGCTTTTAGGGTAACCTGTGATTTCTCAAATAAATAATCCTATATATTATTCAGTTAATAATAAACAATGTTTAAGAAGAATATCTAGAAGGAATCCTAAGCTCCATATTCAAATACTACAGGCCCTGAGTTGAAAGTTCAATAAACATTATCTGATTGCTTTAGAGATAACTTAAGAACTTCAAAATTTACATATTTAAAATATTTTATTCAAGATGCTAACATTTTAAATGTAGAGTTTATTTTTTAATTACAAATGTTATACATGATTATTAAAGATTTGGAAAATATAGAATAGTCAAAAGAAAAAACAGATTACCAACAATCCCTCATCAAAAGATTTCATTTCAATTATTTTTCCAGGTTATGTGAAGGTTTTTCTTATAGAGTTATAATCATATTTAATTAGACGGATGTAAGTTTTCTGGAAAAATTTCTAACAGTATTCATGAAGACTGTTTTCAGTCATTGTAAGAACAGGCTTTTAAACCTTCCAAATCATTGGAGTTAAATGAATGGGGTGTGATCTGCTAGCACATGATTCTCCTAAGGATGAGGCAGCTAGTATAGGTGGAACATCCCAGATCAGAAACTCCAAAATCTGAACTCCTCTAAAATCTGAAATTTTTTGAGTGTTGACAGGATGCTCATAGAAAAATGCTTATAGGAACGTTTAAGATTTTGAATTTTTGGATTGGAGATGCTTAACTGGTAAATATAATGCAAATATTCCAAAATCCAAGGAAATCTGAAATTTGAAACACTTCGGGTCCCAGGCATTTTGGATACGTAATACTCAACCTATCACATGTTCTTATTCATAGTTGTAGTCTGCCTGTCCTTTTATACCAGAATTCTTCCTTCTTGAATTTTTAATATTGAATTCTCTCTCAAATGATTAAAGTATCAAGTAATTACTTGATACACAAACAGGATTTTCTTTTACACACGAAAGAACATTTGCTTCACTATGAAATTTTAACACGAGGACACTGCAGAATTTGAAACCCATGAAACTTTCTTGAAAAAGCAATGCATTAAGAAAAGTCAGTCAAAACAGAAACCAATCAAAATAATTCCAGAATGGAGAAACTATGTCCAAGAGACAGGTGAAAGGCATTCAGTCTCTTTAATAATGAGAACCAAGAACTAAATCTAAAAGCTGAGGGATATTAAGGTTGTAGGAGAGAATATACTAAATATATCTTAAGGGCTAGGGGAGGAATTGCAGGGGGTGGGGGGATTGGGGAGGGATAGCATTAGGAGAAATACCTAACATAGATGATGGGGTGATGGATGCAGCAAACCACTACCATGGCACATGTATACTATGTAACAAACCTGCATGATCTGCACATGTACCCCAGAACTTAAAGTGTAAAAATAAAATAAAAATGAATAGGAGGCACATAAGTAGTGGATATAATATACTTTATATTCCACAGAAGGGAAGGAATAGATTGCTAATGACTAAAATTGAAAAATGCGGTAAAGAAAACAACACTACAGTTATGGCGACCTTTGAGTGTTTTTCATAATTTCTTTTCTTAAAGGGATCTTTTCATATATACCACTTCTTAGGATGAAATTTCTTTTTCTTCTTACGGATATAAGTAAACCTAGATCTAATACTCTATTTTAAAAGAACCTGTAAAGTGTGATCTCATTCTTACAAAATATTTTGTCCATTTATACATGTCCGCTTCTCTCCTTCCATCGATTCATTTGCATTTCCATTATATAAATATATACATAGCGAGATCTATGGAATCTGCTCACTAGTGTAACACCAGTTGTTTCTGGCTAAATTATTGCTTTCTTCTTTTACTTTTCTGTGTTTTTGAATTTTAAATAATAAGCAAGTGTTCCTTTCACACACACAAAAATATTTAGTCTAAAAATAAAAACAGAAGTTAGAGCCAAAGAAAATTAATCAAAACTAAAAAGGAAAACCACCACATGGCTGGTACTGCTAATTGCCAACCTTCTCTTCCTTCCTATTAACAAAGATCTAATTCTGTCCTGAGCAGCAAGGTACATAGTTAAACATACTCGACCCCCTGAACTACATGCAACTGATGGCTACAAGATCAAAGGTCATTAAGATGGATGCAAAAACTTTCCCGATTACGAAGTTCATGATTTGACAGGCATCTATCTTTTACCTTTCACCGTACCTCATGCACAGGGTCTGGAGGTGGAGTAGCCATTGTGACAATGAAGACAGAAGTCACATACTAAGGATTTTGCATCAGGAAAGAAAAAGGAATCTGGTTCTTTGCATGAGCTTTCCAGCCATGAACTGCCTATCTCTAGACTCTGATACATAAAAGAAAAGATGCCTTATATTGGGTTAAGTTTCAGTAGCTGGGCTTTTCTTCATCCTAAGCAATGTTGATTTTAATTTTAACTGCATGCTGTATACTTTCTAGCACTAATCTCATCTCAAACTCTGCTTCCTGGAGAACTCAATCTTTGACAAGTAACAACTATCCCAAAGGAATTACAGTTCTTCTGAATAAAACTAAAACTGCTCTGGGCAATTCTTCAATAAAAAAACAGATGAAAAGCATCATACTTAGTAGACAGTCTAATGAGAAAAAGTAGTTCAATATAAAAACATTTATGATCCATCATTATACTGCACTATAAATTTTAGTAATGTGTTTTATTGGATGTTAAAAATGCTATATAAAAATGCTGTACAATTTTAAAATATGAAAAATGAGTTTAAGAATATTATTTCATTTTACTCATAAAAATGTTACTTTCTTCATCTAGCAACCTCCTCATGATTCCTCTCATTTCTTTTTCACTCACTGTGACATTACCACTGTTTTCATTCTTGGTAATTTCAATATACTCATAGGTAATTCTTTCAACTCCCTGGCTTTTGGTTCCTTTCTTTCCATTTCAGTTACTCATTCCCATCCACACACTCCAGGTGTTTCCTAGACTATTGTCAGTAATGTAAACACCCCCCCAGTCTCATCCCCTAATGTAATCACTTCCTCTGATTATCATCTCTATCTCCCCCCCTCACATCCTCTGGTACCCAGATTTCAACAATCCTTTGACGCTGTTAGGACTCACAGTCGATGGATCGTACCTGTTGCACCTTGTATCACTCTCCCCTGATGCCCTTTCTTCCTTCATTGCTCAACTTGAATTCTATGGTCAACCATATTAATCACTTACACACATGATCAGCTTCACTTGGTGAAAAACATATTTCTTGGTAAACCCAACTGTTTTACCAAGTACAGTTGCTTAAACAAGTTGGTTATTTAACTTGTTAAATAACTTGTTATTTAAATTTAAATTCATGATCACTAACTTTTAATTAGAGTCTCTTGGTTCCTGACAGTCTAATTCTCTTAGATGGCTACTTTCAATCTTCTCTTTTACCTTGTAAGCTCTAAAATACCTCTGCTTAATCCTCACTCCCATCTAATGAATGATACTGCTTTCCATTTCTCAGATAAAACTGAAGCTATCACAAAAAGCATCCACATTCTCTCCTTAGCACATCTATCCACCTGCCATCATACACTCTCCCTTCCTATCTGCCTCCACAGTTCCTAGAATGCAGGAAGTAGCCATGTTCCTGTCTAATGTCAACCCTTCTTCTTCCACTGTGCACCAGATCCCATTACAGTTTCTCTACTCAAAACATTGCTCCAGAAATTCTTCCCTCACTCTCATACATTGTCAGTTATTTTTCGATCAAATCTGTCTTAATATCATACAAACAAAACGATCATTTATTTCATAAAACAAAGCAAAGCAAAAATGCTTTTTGTCTCACCTCCCTTGTCAGCTACTGGTCTATTATTTTGCTGCCTTTTACAACAGCTTTCTGCGGCATGGTCTATAACTTGAAGCAGCATTCCACTCCTTCTATTCCCACTTACTCCCATTTAATTTGCCTTTTACAGTCACTTCTCCATGGAAACTACTTGTCCATTTTACTGATCACTTCGTTCTTGCTAAACCCAAAGGGCAGTTCTCAGTCCTAACAATCTTTCTTAATCTCTCAGCAGCAAATGACAGAGCAGTCCTTCTCAATATACTTTCTTCACTTAGTTTTCAGGATTCCATAAGCTGTCAGGTTTCTTCCAACCTCACTGTTTCCTTTGCAGGTTCCTCCTCTTTCGCCTGACTGCTTCAGGTTAGCATGCTCAGGGGCCTCAGGCCTTGGCTTGCTCTTTTCCATCAGTCTCTTGGTATGCTCAGTCAGATTTCAGCAACTCCCAAATGGTATCATCTATAGTCCATTATTTCCCTCCCGAACTCCAGACTTTTATATATGACTGCCTCCTTGTCACTTCTGCTTGCATGTTAAATAGATAGCTCAAAACTATCATCTCAAAAATGAAACTCCCAGACTCTCCCCAACTGTCAAATATACTCAATCACAGCTTTCCCCATTCCACCTGAGTATAACTCCATTCTTCCAGTTGCTTGGGCCAAAAATCTTAACAACCCAAAACCAATTCTTCAAATTTTTGGTTCTACCTTCTACATATAACCTCATCTAACCATTTTTCATCACTTCTACTGCCACCACCCTGTGTCAGGCCCTGTTGCCTCCTGTAAATTGCATCTTACAAATGAAATGTAGTACCTTAAGATTAATTCTCTTCCATGGAAACAAAGTAAAATAATATACTAAATGCACAGAATTCTATTATGAAAAGAGTATATGATTACCTTTTTTCCTAGGTTGATTGGAGGTGGGAATGGATCTCAGGTTTCTGCTTTTCATAGTGTCCTCTGAAGTTTTCTTTTCAAGAGTAGAAAACATCTTGAGTGGTGAACTGGGTTTGCCATAGCCTGAGCTCCTAACTGATGCATACAATCCTTTCTGGGGTTTCCTTTTAAGTAAAGGAGGTGCACTTCTGGCCTTCTTGTATGGTACTGGTTTACCCATTACAGCCCCTTCTTCTTCAGAACTAAGTTGAGATCTGTAAGCCTGTACACAACAAGCAAAAGCTCTTTAGTATCTAAATAAACTTTACTGTTGTAAATGAATATTTAACAGATGGCAAAACAACGATTATCAAATAATGTAGTTTGTAAAAGGCAAACTATTAAAGTTCTTGAAGTCTAATGCATTCGAATTTTAGCATTTTGAGGCAAACCCTTAAAGTTAGCATAGAGACAAACTAAAGCAAAATAATAAAGCAAAATTAGCTTGCCAAAAACCAAGATGTTTAATTACTGGAATGAACACAGCAGAAAGAAAGAACATATTTTGAAATGACATAAAATCTTATCTAATTTTTTATCTGAACTTCTCAAGATGCTTTAAAAAAATTATTAATACTTTGACTTATTCCACAAAGAACTGGAGACGACTTAGATACATAATTCAAAATTATAATATGCAAGTAGAATGTCTGAATCATGGCAGCTATAAAGCAGGAGAGATCAAGAATACAGGAAAAAGAATCAGTAAAATGTAAATTTCTTCACAGGTGTTAATAGCATTCATATAAAATGTCAACTTACAATACAAATGACTGGAAAGACTGAACAGTGCATACTAAATGAAGAATAAACTTTTTCTTGTCCTATTCAAATTCTGGACTATATTCACTGAAAGAAAGGAAGAAATGTATAAAGAATGGCTTCTAAAAGAAAGCTAATGTTATGGTGGTATTTTTGAATTTGGGGACTGGCTAGGATTGTAATAAACAAGATTCACAAATATCCAAGATCTACTGTGGAGGTTAGTATATAATCGATGCCATAGTTTAAAAAGCACATACCTACCAACAGTACTTGTAACTTTACATAACTTCAGTTCTCAGCATCTCAAATCAATTTATAAGTACTTACTTTACTAATTCTGTCATCCTGAGATAATGATGAGGAATTAACAGATATTTTTTTCCTCAAAATATCAAGGTACATTTTATCAACATGTTCTTCTGTGGCAGTTACTCTTGGACAGCTGTTCTCCATACTCTCATTTGTGGTCTTTTGTAAAATCACATTCTCATCATTTTTGTCAAAAAAATGGTTTATATTTTGTGAGTCTTGAGATATAATATTTGGGTTCATCTTCAGGGGTAAAGAGCTAACAAATTCAGTTTCTTTACTTTCAGCCACTTTCTCAGAGCTATAAAACAAAACAGGACACAGATAATGAACCCTATGTACAACTCTTCAAATATCAGTAACGTGTGTACACACACATGCACATGCACAATATATATAGATATGAGTTGTTAACTATTTAATTAAGTTTCTGATGTTAAATATATTATTTATAATTTTGGTTAACAGAGTATACTCAGTATAACTGTTTAATTTCAGATAATTATTTCAATGCAGTATAATGCAAAGGATTACATAGGTGATGTTGAGATTTATTTCAGAGAAAGGCCAAAGCAAACAAGACTGAGACTCCTTTATTTAAGAAAAATACAATATAAATTTTAAGTGAACTTTTTGTAATATATCTCGTATCTACATTTTCTTATATAGTTGACATGCATTTGAAATAAGAAAAACATTTTAAACATTTCTAGAAGAAACTAAAGAAGTAATCATAATTTATGTCAAGGAGGCATAAAGTATAAATACTAAAAAGCATACATTTAATCAGTATAGAAAACATTTTAATGTAAAAAGAAAAATCACCAGGCTTTGAAAATAAAATCATTTTTGTGGTTTAAAACATTTAAGTGGGCTCTTTATGGAACTTAAAATATAATTTAAAAAAATTTGGAAAGACCTAAAAAAAAAAAAAGTACCACTACTCCTCCTAAATGGTGAATATCGTTCTAAATTTTAAGATCTTATAAACATAATATCTTATTTAATCAGTAAAAAAATAAAGATAACCCCTACTTATTAAAAAAAAGCACTTATAACAATTCAGACAATTAGATGTTAAAAATCTGGAAGTTACAACTTAAGGAAATGTTTTAAACTTGGTTAAATATTGGCAAACTACAGGGGCTCCAAAAATATGGGAACTGCTGGTATTAAAATATTTAATCATGTGTCAATTAGGCCATTTGATTTTATAATTTATAAAACAAGATTAGAGAAACGTTTAAGAGGCTACCATTTTCATATAATTTAGATTGGCTTCTTGGTAACTGTTGGAAGCTTCAAAAGTAGCTGGAATCATCAGAAATAGAACAGTTCTTTCCTTCTTCACAGTAGCTAGATGCTAATCAAAACTTTCTCATTCTTGCAGGGTACCAAGTAAACTATATTTCCTTGCCATCTTGCATCTAAATGGGACCATTTACTAGTTAGTCCCTTTAGAATGTGAGAGCTGAAATGCCAAGAACCCAGCTTATTTGTTAATGGCTTAGGTCAGGTTTTGGGTGGCAGGAAACTGATAACTAGAGTCTGGAGAGATGGCAGTCTATGTTTTATAGTGGCAAAAAACTGCTAAACTGTCATAAGGTAGAGCACATGCCTGCTGACCATGGAGTACTAAGTGATATGACTGGAAAGAACAAGGAGTTATTAAGTGCTGGCTACTGTTAGCTTCTTTTGACAAGATATTACCAAAAAAACTGACAAGCTCAAGAAAGAATAAGCTGGTTTGTAAGCAGAATTTAAAGAGAACAGAAGGAATCTAGAAACTCTAGAAATGGGTTCACTCTCTGTATAGACTCGGGCTGTAGACTCAGCATTTATAAATGCTGAGAAAGCAAGATTTCGTGAGACTTCTTGGTTGAAAAGTGAGAGACCCAGTCCCTTAGCAAAGATCATATTAAGTGTCATCTTCATACTTATGGTTGTTTCCCCAAATATCAGAGAACTGCAAATAAACACAGGAAAAAAAAAAAGAAACTGAGGAACAAGCAATCAAAGAATAAAGCAGATTTAAGCCCTCTGTCTAGCAAAAAACTTTTTTTTTTTAACTTTTATTCTAGGTTCAGGGATACATGTACTGTAAACTGCATGGCATGGGGGTTTGATGTACAAACTATTTCATTACCCAGGTAATAAGCAAGTATCCAATAGGTAGTTTTTCAATCTTCACCCTCCTCTCAACCTCTCAAGTAGGATCCAGGGTCTGTTGTTCTCATCTTTGTGTCCATATGTACTCAATGCTTAGCTCTCACTTATAAGAACATAGAGTATTTGGTTTTCTGTTCCTGCATTCGCTTGATTAGGATAACAGCCTCTAGCTCCCTCCATGCTGCTGCGAAGGATGTGATCTCATTCTTTTTTAAGGCTGATAGTATTCCATGGAGTATATGTATCATACTTTCTTTATCCAATCTACCACTGATGGACATTTAGGTTGATTCCATGTCTTTGCTATTGTGAACAGTGCTGCAATGAACATATGCATGCATATGTCTTTATGGTAGAACAATTTACATTCCTTTTGGTATATATCCAATGATCAGATTGCTGGTTGAGAAGTAATTAAGTTATCTGAGAAATCACCAAACTGCTTCCCACAATGGTTACTATTTTACATTCCCACCAGCAGCGTATAAATGTTCCCTTTTCTCCGTAAACTCCTCAGCATTTTTTTTCTTTTTAATAATAGCTATTCTGACCTGTGTGAGATAGCATAGCACTATGATTTCAATTTGTATTTCCCTAATGATTAGTGATGCTGAGCATTTTTTTGAATGCTTGTTGGATGCACATGTCTTCTTTTGAGAAACGTCTGTTCGTGTCCTTGCCCACTTTTAAATGAGGTTGTTTTTTTGCTTGTAAATTTGCTTAAGTTCCTTATAGATTCTGGGTAGCAAAGAACTTTAAGTCTGGTTACTGGCACATGGCATTCACTGGGACCAAAGAGATAACTAGGTTACTAAACTTTCTGAAAGAATATAATGTCAAAGAAACCAGAACCCTGTTTAAAATAAAAAAATAGAAAAAAAAGAAACCCAAAAGCCAGTGACTGGGAAACTTAAAGCTACCTATAGGCAGGAAGTGGATTGAGAAAGGAGTGTATCCCCCAAGACGGGCATACCCCTCAACCTAAAATTCACTTCAGTTATAGCCAGCCAATGGTGATAACATACAAGACAAATCTTCCAAGGAATGGAACGAGGGGCTATATGGAATAACTGACTTAAGGTAGTCCCTTCTTAACAGAGTAATAACCAAATCAAGGAAAATCCCTATTCCCAAGGTAGGAGCCCTTTACAAGGTCTTTCCAGTGGTTCTCAAAGTTGCAACATTGGTTGCTATATTTTCTTCATACTTTTCCTTGTGGAAAGGGCATATCTACTGCAGTTCCACAATTATACATTGGGAAGGGGGTAAGGAAGTATATAACTTTGTCATTATCTCCCATTGGCAGACAATGAGGAGCCATACTCAAACCTGATAGAGAGGACTGTACTTCACCTGGAAATTCTAGCCTTTCAGATTCGCACAGTCCTGAATGGGACTTGGGGCTGGCTGGTTGGGGAAGAGGATAAGTGGGTCTGTGTATGAAGAGTGAAATCAATATTTTTTTTATTAGAATAGTATATCCTGGCAGAGACTGACTAGATACTGATCAAACTCATTTATTTTTCTTTCTTCCCACTGAAACAAAACACATTTCACAGCCTCTTTGGATGTCGTTAGCTAGACGTGCTGGTTCTTACCAATGGAATGTGAGCTGAAGTGATATGCAACTTCTGTGTTAAGGCAGTTAAAAGAAAGGGTATAAAACCATTCTCTTTCTTTCCTTACTGACTGGTTGGATGATGTCGTAAAAATCTTAAAACTGTATGTTGATGACAGAACCAGCCTGGGGTCCTAAACGACTGTGTGAAGCAGAGCCCCAATCCAACCCCAATGACCCACGAAGGATAGTGATGTGAGCAAGAAATACATTTTTGATGATGTTAAGCTACTAAGATTTCAAGGATTCTGTTACAGCAGCTAGGATCATCTACTCAATAGCTACTAAAAACTTTTTAGGTATGTGTACTAAAGGTCATATTTCTTGATTTCTATCATATATGATTACCGTTATACCTGTAATATAAGTATAACTGCTTTCAGCTTTTAAACACAAATGTAAAAATCTGTTTTAGAATTCCTACTACTAAAATGGTTTTACCTATAAAAACAAAGATAAGATACAAGAAGTGTAAGAAAATCTCTTTAGTTATCACTAACATACCCCCAAACAGCAATGATGAGTTGGCACAATATTTCCTTTAAAAATACTAATTAGCATTACAGATCAAAGGAAGACTACTAGACTTAGCATTCAAGTAAATGAATTTTAGCGTAAGGTTCACTACATTTTTTTAAAATTGCATTTCATGTTTTGGGGTACATGTGAAGAACATGCAAGATTGTTGCATAGGTACACTGCATAATTTTTTTTCTCAACTAGCACAAACATAGAAACAAGGCCAAGAAATCACCACATGTGGATTTACATCATGAGGATATAGTGTACAAAGGGGGCTCAAAACATGTATACTGAAGACACAAATAAATGAGAACATGAATGGATGACAGGCTATTTCACAGAAGTATTTTACGGAGATCAAAGACCTGACAATATAAGTGGTTAGGTACATGGATGGCCCATGTTCCTGGTCCACAGCTATATGACCTTAGGCAATAGCTTTATCTCAGCCTCTTAGGTTTCAGTCGTCTTGTCTCGGAAATAGGAATAATAATGGACTATAACCCATGGAGTTGCTGTAAGGTTAAATGAAATGATACATGTAAAGTATCTACCCAAAGTAAATGTGATAAACGTTAGCTGTTATCTACCAGTAAATTGAATTTAACTCAGTTTCATTTCTTGAATTATGGGCTTAAAGGCACCTTCCCTACTTGTTATGAGGATCATGTGAGAGACTGGACATGATATTTCATTGCTACATTAAAAACAACACTGTCTATGACAAGGTTACTGTGACGTATTACTCCAGGCTGAAGAATGACAGTGGGTCACACATAGTTCCACTAAACTGTATTGGACCTGAAGCATTTTAATGAGGCCCATTTCTCTTGCGGCTACAAAACTCAGCCAGTGAGATGATGGCCAGTCTGTGACTAGGTCAAAACTAACTGGTATATAAAGAAGCAAATCTATGACTCATAAACAGAATAAAATTCACTTTTTCCCTCATCGTGAATGAACTGTTCCAGCACTATTAAAGCTGAAGAGAGACTATTTTTCAGTGAAAACCTTTACGACTATTTAGTGGCAGAAACTTTTTTATAGAATCTGTTTATTTTTTCATTTAGCACTAGAATTTTGATGAATTGAGTGAGGACAATATAAAAAGAAGAGAGGATAACTCACAGGCAGACTCTTGCAAGGTAATATTAGTCATCAATCATTCACTAGGAAAGATTACATAGAACAAATGACTAAAAGTTTCCAAAGACAAAACAATAAACAAAAAAATTCATACCTGACAGCTTGTAAATCAAAACCACTGACCCCAAATGAATCTATTCTGATAGGTTTCATTAGCTCCTCTACTGTGGGCAGATCTAAGGGGGACAAAGAAGTAGAAACAAAAAGATGTTATGTAGACTGCTTAATTTACATGTGTAATACCACCAAAATTATATTTTCTCTGACATAGTTAACAAAATGATACATGAAACAAACCTGTTTTCCATCTTAAGTTTCCTTACACCAGGAAAACTTCCTTTCTTATGAAATATCAAATATCTCAAATATCAATATCAAATATATATATCAAAAAATATCTTTACACACGCTTGTGCACGTGTGCACATGTGCGCGCGCGCGCGCGCGCGCACACACACACACACACACACACACATACATATATGCTATGTACATGTTTGGTTGATCCGGAAATACTGTTCTCTAACAAAATACAACTTTAATATATATACTTTCAAAAGAGTAAAAAATGTCCTTTTAAGTGACTTCTTAATTTGGTCAAGGCATGTTAGAAAAGAAATTGGGCTGGGTGCGGTGGCTCATGCCTGAAATCCCAGCACTTTGGGAGGTTGAGGCAGGATGATCACCCTAGGTCAGGAGTTCAAGACTAGCCTAACCAACATGGTGAAACCCCATCTCTATTAAACATATAAAAATTAGCTGGGCATGGTGGTGGGTGCCTGTAATTCCAGCTACTGGGGAGGCTGAGGCAGGAGAATCACCTGAACCTGGGTGGCGGAGGCTGCAGTGAGCCAAGATCGCACCACTGCACTACAGCCTGGGTCACAGAGCAAGACAGACAGACAGACAGACAAAGAAAGAAAGAAGAAAAGAAACGAAACGAAACTGAAATTCCATTTTGTGTTTAGCTCTAATTTTATAGTTAAGCCAATAATTCCCATATGTCATTTGAAAAAATCTCTTTAATTAAGCTCAGAGACAGAGGAAAAATCACTACAGCAAATTGTATTTTAACTATATTACACTAAAAACTCTTTAGAAAGAATATCAAATAATTGAAAAACTCATCTCTAAGCTTTTACCAGATTCCATAGTAGAGATGTTTTTTGAATGCTCTTCACTTTCTTGAGGATGACCTTTCACTGAACTCTTGGTATCTTCTATTGTGTTACTCTCAATTTTTTGTTCATCTTCATCTCCCAATGAATGTGCTATATGAGAATAAGCTTGATGTAGGGCTTCAATGTCACTATTGCTTTGTCCGTAAGAAATACCTGTTGAAATAAATGTAATCCCCAAAAATAATTACACCACAAACACATGAGAACTATAAAACACTAATATCATTCCTTAATCTGTTAAAATATAAAAGTAGAGTTAAGTACTAACTAGGTAATTTCCAGCTATGGCCTACCAGTATATATTCACAGCAAGCTCAATAACTCTTTTAGCAAGTTGAGGTGTGTCCTGATGTGATAAGTATAACATCTGCTTTCACAAGTCATTGCCCTTTCTCCTACTATTCTTAACTGACCCGTCTACATTGGATAAGACTATTCTTAAATTTCCCAAAATGACAAATTCCTTTGAAGGATTCTACCTCTCCTTTACCATTACCATTCTCTCTGCTTCTCTGTACTACCAAGCATCCTGTCATCTGCATTTTTTCAACCACAATGAATCCACTCCTCTAACTTTGTAATCCAATGTGTTCCAACATCCTGCTAAAACTTCTGTGATCAAAAGCAATTTTCTAATGACCAACTCCATCTGTCTTTCGTTCTCTTCAACTATGTGAGACATCTGACATTATCTTTTGACTTCACCTTAGTCAAAAGGCAGAGAAAGTCATACACTGTCTATTTCCTGGGAACTGTTTCTTCTGCATGCCTTCTTCTTTTTGTTATTCCCACCATTTTGAGGGCTAGTTTTTCATCTCTTATGGTCTACAGTTCATTTCAGGACTCCATCCTCAGCTCTCTTCTTTTGAAAGTCTCACTTACCAATTTTTTGACCTGACTAGTTTCATGAAGACTCTCAGCTTCAACTATTACCCACATGCCCATGATTCCCAAATCTATGTCTATGTGCTTACAATTCTTTTCTGAACATCAACTTAACATTTAGATTGTCCTATAAGTGTATCACATCTACATATTCCCCAACTGAATTCATTATATTCCCTACTAAAACTTGTTCTACCACCAGTATTTCCTATTTTACCTAATCACATCACTATCTACTCAGTCAAAGTAGAAACCCTGATGTCATCATTCATTCTTCCTTCCCTATTAGCCTTCTGATATGGTTTGGCTGTGTCCTCACCCAAATCTCATTTTGAACGGTAACTCCCACAATTCCCACATGTCATGGAAGGAGGAGAGTGGGAGGTGACTGAATTATGGGGGAGAGGCTTTCCTGCGCTGTTCTTGTGATAGTGAACAAGTCTCATGAGATCTGATGGTTTTAAAAATGGGAGTTTCCCTGTACAAGCTCTCTTTCCCTGCCACCATCCATGTAAGATGTGACTTGCTCCTCCTTGCCTTCCACCATGATTGTGAGGCTTCCCCAGCCACTGGAACTGTAAGTCCAATAAACCCTTTTTCCCATATAAATCACCCAGTCTTGGCTATATCTTTATCCACAGTATGAAAATCGACTAATACACCTTCTCTTTCCACCAACTGACAAAATCTAGAAAAAAGAACTCAAATAATTTGATAATGATTGTACATTTTTGATAATTTGATAATGATTGTATGTTTACTTTCTTACTCATTTTGTAATTTTCATTACTAACAAGTGGAATTTTCAAAATTAGAGGTAAACAATCATGGAAGAGAGGAAAAAAGAAAACAGAGTAACCAATCTCTTATCTTGATACCCACGATTAACCAGTTATTAAAAATAAAATAGTATATATAGTCTCATTTTCCTGTATACACACAACTTGTAAACAGAAGAGATAGGCAAGTACTATATATGATTGTGTAAGAATGCCTTACACTGAGATGTCTTTCTAGCTAGTGCTTCAGGTCCCCATGGCTACATGAAGCATACCCAAATAATAAGTTTGCTTAAATAAACTAAAAACAGAAGGGGATACTGCTAGAGAAGAATTGCCAGTTGAAGGGCAGAGATTTTCAAGAGGACATGAGGAAAAAGGTCTTGCTTGTAGCATGAATGAAAGAGATCATTAATTTTCAAGAAAAAAGGAGAAGCACGCAGTGTTTTTTTCTCTATAAAAATATCAAGTTGAGTAAAGTGTCTGCTGAGTATACATAAAAGAAATGACTTCAATGGTAGACAGCATAGTAGTACTGAATGCTGATACCTAATTTAGTAGGTATGAAGCATCAGAAAGAATAGGTTCTATGCTTTTAAGCAACAATAGAGCAAACAAGCAGAAAAACAAATGACCTAAAAGTTAGAAAAGAGAAATGAAAAAAAAAAAGAGGTAGGAGGGGCTGCTCAAAAAAATGGCAGGAAAATGATACTTTTCTAACTTGAGTTATTAACCCAAGTCATATTAAAAGTAATTCCGTGGTTATGTAAGTTAACTTTTTTCCACGCATATCATGAAAACAAAAGGAGTTACTTATCTGCCTTTTACACTGAAAAGAGAAGACTCTGTAGTTATTTTATGTATTATGAAGTCAAAGATCCCTATATTTTTCATCTTGTTGAGGCTGGGCACAGTGGCTCACGCCAGTAATCTCAGCGCTTTTGGAGGCTGAGGTGGGCGGGTCACCTGAGGTCAGGAGTTCAAGACCAGCCTAGCCAACATGGCAAAACCACATCTCTACTAAAAAAAAAAAACCCCATAAAAATAAGCTAGGCTTGGTGGTGTGCACCTGTAATCCCATCTACTCGAGAGGCTGAGACAGGAGAGTCGCTTGAACCCAGGAGGTGGACATTACAGTGAGCCGAGATCATGCCACCGCACTCCACCCTGGGAGACAGAGCAAGATTCCGTCCCAAAAAAAAAAAAAAATGAGAGAGACAGTTTAAAAGTGCCAAATACTATTTTGCAGAGGAAAGGGTCTAGTTTCATGAAGCAACACTGTCACCCTGTGATGACTCTAATAATGCAGGCATAGGACAAAATGATATTTGCCTGTGAGACGAATGAAAAAGTGAAAGGTTAGATCTGGCCTGGTGTTAGGAAACCCTTTGTTTTATACTTGCTAAACTCTTTAATACAGCAAGGCACAAATAATTTCATAAATAATATTTTTAATAAGAGAATCTTTGACAATGTTTTAAAATCAGCCAATGTTTAAAAGGTAAGCAATGTTTGTTAAAGTTAGCTGCTTAACACATAAAGTGGCAAGGTAAAACAAACCCCACTGACCTTTTCAGTTCTTAAACCTAGTTCACATACTTATTTGAAGACTTACCAGTATATATTTTATTTTTATTTTAATTAATTAATTTAGAGATGGAGTCTCACTCTGTCACCCAGGCTGGATTACAGTGGCATGATGTTGGCTCACTGCAATCTCCACCTCCCAGGTTCAAGTGACTCTCTTGCCTCAGGCTCCTAAGTACCTGGGATTATAGATGTGTACCACCATGCTCAGCTATTTTTTTTAAATTTCTTAGTAGAGATGAGGTTTCATGTTGGCCAGGCTGGGCTTGAACTCTTGACCTCAGGTGATCCGCCTGCCTCAGCCTCCCAAAGTGCTGGGATTACAGGCAGGAGCCACCACACCTGGCTGAAGACTTTCAGGTATATATTTTAAATACTAGAAATTCAATCTCCTGCAGCCAATAAGTATTTACACTGTATAACTCTAGGTTCTCTCCTATAGCATGTATTAATAACAGAGAGTTGACATAAATAATAATGATAATAACGAAAAAGTTGCTACTATTCAGTGAATCTTAAAAATGTACTATATGTTATCTCAGTTGACCATCGCAAGGCTTCATTTTAAAAATGAGAAAACAGGCTTAGAGGTACTCATTATCCAGTGTCACACAGCTAGTAAGTGGCAAGGTTGAAAATCTGAATCCAAACCTACATGATAATAAGTTCACACTCCACTATGTTCAAGTAATTGACTAATCAAATTATCTTATAGGCAAGAATATTTAATAATTAAGACCAACAAACTATAATTTTATATAACTGCTTAGTTCATCTTAATAAAATTTTCTTTTAGAAATACATATTTTATTTCTGAGTTTTTCTTATAACCTACAGTAGTGGTTTTCACACTGTATGACACTAATTTTATAATCAGTTTTTCAGAGAAAATCATGGGTTTCACAGATGCTTGACTGAAATTCCATTTTAAATCATGCTTTAAAACTAAAAAATAGGAATAGAACCTATTCTGCACACTCAAATATACTATTTATATAACTGTAAAAATCGGAAGACATTATGTAATAATATTGTTAATAACTTTTGCTTTCTCTTTTACCTGATTTAATGCACATCTCAGAATAAAGTTTCTCTGGTCATCCTAAGCACATGAACTTCCTATAAAATACTGTTAATCAGAAAAATCGTAGCTCTACAATGGTCTTTTAAAAGAATCCATGTCTGCCTACTGAAAACTGTGCAAGGGGATAACTATCACAGCATGTACGTGATGTGGTCCCTTAAATCAACAGCAGTAAAACTGAGGAACATGCACTCAGCACATGCTTACATCATAGCGGAATACTTAGTTGGGCAACAAATGAGTAATGTGTCTTAATGGGAAAATTATGTCTTATAGTTGTAATTTTTTGATCTTCATATTTTAAAATGAAAGTAGATGTAACAAGTCAAAATAGTGGTGACTCTTGCAAAGACAGTGACTAGACATAAGAGATGCGATGGACATTGTGGTTCGAGTGCTCTTAGTTTTTATCTGGTTGCTGATTACATGGGTGTGCTCAGTATTTCAAAATTCACTGAGTTGCACTATTGTGATACCATGAACTTTTCTAAAGGTATACTATAGATCAATTAAAAACTAAAAAGAAAAAAAAATGCAAGCTGATGATGGTTAGTGATTTCTGAGCTGGTTAGTGATTTCAATTACTCTTTTTTTTTTTATCAAGTATCTAAATCTGTTTAGTTAACAAGTATATATAGACTGCAAAGTAAGCTGATTAAAAAGTTCCCATGTGAAGCTATTTATGTGATAAAACAAGAATATTTTTATACTATTTAACCAAAACAGAAACACAAACACACTAGAAGACTGATGGTGACATGAGGCCACAACAAATCTCAATAGTTTCCGATTTCAAAAATTCCAAAAAACCATTATTGTCCTCACCTATTTTATGGCCAAATGTAACAAATATAAGTTTAAATATTTATACTAATAAAGTATCAGTTTTACCTACGAGAAAGTTCCATGTAAGAATTCAACTGGAGGAGAACGATCCAAGATGGCCGATCGCTAACATCTCGGGATTGCAGCTCTCAGTGAAACCGCAGAGAACTAGAGGACGCCACACTTGCAGACAAATTCTGGTCGCTCACAGAGCATAAGATCCCCAGTGGAGGAGTCACACGGGTCGCCAGCGCGACTCTTGTGGCCGGCGCAGCAGTTTCACCGGCACCTTGGCGCGGCAGCTCTCGGAGCAGAGTAAACAGGGCTGGCTACCCTCTGACTGAGGTTTGGAGGACCCACACGGGTCCCCAGCACGACTCCTGAGGCTGGTGCAGCGGCTGTGATGGCACCTCAGCGCGGCAATCTCGGTGCAGAGTAAACGAGACTGGTTTCCCTTCTGACCGAGGTCTGGAGCCCCGGGAAGGCAGAGTCACCTATTACGGACCCAAGAAGGAAGCCAGACAGGAGAATCCTGGGCAGAAAAGCACCATCAGTCTTAATGCCGCCGTTCTGGCCCTGGGAACTAACAACTTGGACGTCCACTCAAGAGACCTAATCTGAAAGTTGGTAACTTCAAAGACGACAGGAGGATAAATTTACAATGATGGGAAGAAACCAGCATAAAAAGGCTGAGAATACTCAAAATCAGAACGCCTCTCCCTCTAAAGATAATCACAGTTCCACATCAACAATGGAACAAGGCTTGATGGAGAATGAGCACATCCCAATAACAGAATCACTCTTCAGGGAATGAATAAGAAACTTCTGTGAGTTAAAAGAACATGTTGTAGCCCAACGTAAAGAAACTAAGAACTTTGAAAAAAGGTTTGATGAAATCCTATTGAGAATAGACAACTTAGAGAGGAATATAAGTGAATTACTGGAACTGAAGAATACAATACAGGAACTCCGAGAAGTATGCACAGGTTTAAACACTCGAATTGTTCAAGCAGAAGAAAGAATATCAGAGGTCAAAGTCCAACTTAATGAAATGAAACAAGAAGACAAGATTAGAGAAAAAAGGATAAAGAGGAATGAGCAAAGTCTCCAAGAAATGTGGGACTATGTGAAAAGACCAAATTTACGTTTGATAGGTGTACCTGAATGCGACGGAGAGAATGAATCCAAAGCTGGAAAATATCCTTCAGGATATTATTCAGGAAAATTTTCCTAAACTAGCAAAGCAGGTCAATATTCAACCCCAGGCAATACAGAGAACACCACAAAGATATTCCTCAAGAAGAGCAACCCCAAGGAACATAATCATTAGATTCACCAGGGTTGAAACGAAGGAGAAAATACTAAGGGCAGCCAGAGAAAAAGGTCAGGTTACCCACAAAGGCAAGCCTATCAGACTGAAAGCAGATCTCTCAGCAGAAACTCTACAAGCCAGAAGAGAGTGGGGGCCAATATTCAACATCCTCAAAGAATAGAACCTTCAGCCCAGAATTTCATATCCAGCCAAACTAAGCTTCACAACTGAAGGAAAAATAAAATCTTTTATGAACAAGCAAGAACTCAGAGATTTTATTACCACCAGGCCTGCTTTACAAGAGCTTCTGAAAGAAGCATTACACACAGAAAGAAACAACCAGTATTAGCCTTTCTAAAAATATACCAAAAAGTAAAGAGCATCAACATAAAGAAGAATTTACATCAATGAATGATAAAACAGCCAGTTAACATCAAATGGCAGTAACCCTAAATTTAAATCGACTAAATCCCCCAATCAAAAGACACAGCCAAAACCCAACGGCATGTTACATCCAGACCTGTTTCACATGCAAGGATACACAAAGACTCAAAACAAAGGGATGGAGAAAGATTTACCAACCAAATGGAGAGCAAAAATAAATAAATAAATAAATAAATAAAAAGCAGGAGTTGCAATTCTCGTATTGGATAAAATAGATTTTAAAGCAACAAAGATATAGTGGTAAAAGGATCAATACAACAAGAGCTAACGATCCTAACACCCAGATACATAGAGACTTAGATTCAATGAGACAGAAAATTAATAAGGATATCAAGGACTCGAACTCAGATCTGGAACAAGTAAACTTAATAAATATTTATAGAGCTCTCCACTTCAAATACACAAAATATACATTCTTGTCAATACCACATCACACCTACTCATAGGTTTAAATGAAACATTGATTGGCCATTATTAATATACATTTTTTTTTTCAGAATAAAGCAATATTTCCGTTCACCCTCCCTCTTTCTCTTCCTCTTTCTTCCACTCCTTTACTCATTTCTTTTTCTTCCCTTCTCTCAAAAAAAAGAAAAAAAAAAAGAATTCAACTGGAGATAAGCATTTTGCTGCTTTAAAAAAGTTTGAAAAGGCATTATCTCAAAGACCTTTAAAGGTTTTAGCAAAGTCTAGTTGGTATCAGGTATTTCAGAATTTGGGGATGGGATGTAGCTTTTTCCTAGAGAAAGAACTATGGAAAAGCACAATAAGACCAAAATCCCATTTCTCCTACACATGGCAGATTTAACTGAATACTCTGTAGAGGCATAGAAAATTGGTTAACGTTCACCTAAAGTATTATACTTTGTATCAATAGCATTTATTCATTTATTAATATTTATTTAAAACCACATTTTACTTGGCCTACTAGCATTGTGTCATCATTAGAACGTTTTAATTATTTAAATGATTACATATGGTAGGAAAATGTCAGATTTAAAGTTTTCAAATCCTTTTACCTGTTCCTGTCATTTCATTATCAGTCATTTCTGGTAGACCCTTTGGCTTAGGTGTTGTTTTATCTTGTTCATCAAGGTTGACCTCTGCAACAGAGTCTAATGAATCAAGCAGCACAACTGGAAGAATATAAAGAAAAATATGAGGAATGTGATAAACTGGATGGTTCTGTTGATCTGATAAAATTATTTTAAACATATGCAATGCATATAAAAAAGATAAATGCTCACAAAGAGTATATAATCTTATATATGTATGAATGTAACAAGCATGTTTTACGTGTGTGTGTGTCTGTGTGTGTATGCATATAACAAATGATTTTCTTCCCATGTAGAAGACAGTAGGCTAACATCAACATACATATCTACACTTATGTACTGGTCTAGTGTACACATACACATAGAAGGCAAAGGGCATAAGAAAAATAACAAAAAATAATCTGAAATATAACAGAATGGATTCAATATATGCATAAGAAACACATTATTGGGAAAACCTAGGAACTTTAATTCCTTAGAAATACTTAAAAACAAACAGTAACTCATTCAGAATTATTTAGATAAAATTCTAAGCAGACTAATTTTTTGCCAACAAAAATATATGAATACAAATAATATTTACCATTAGCCAGCATGCCAGTTTTTTCTTCTTCCTAAATTAAAAAGTAAAAATGATTACATGTTTTGAAACCAAAATTACATAAAATGACCACAATGCAAATAACAGCAAAATGTGAAAACCAGGGCTTTTTATTGAAAAGATCAGGAGCTGTGTTTTCTGATTCATCAATAACTCTTCAAGACTGTAGCACTGATGGAACTTCTAAAATTTTTTTCTGAACCTTAGTAATTACCAAAAGTAATTTAGGCCTGAAAAAAGTCTTGCTTAAAGTCTAAGTGCCATTTGCTCATCTACCTTGCTCACGAATTCACTAGTTTTATTGAAAGTCAAGATTAAACAGACCTAGAACACACAAGAGTTCTGCAATGATAACATTACCAGTCTATTAGCCCTTATTGTTCAAAATTTATGACCAAATTCTTTGTATTCATTATTTCATCTGTTTCAAAAGATACAACTTTCAGAAAGGCAGGCTACCAAACAGCAAGACAGATAAAGTTCTTCAATACTAGAGGTTACCTTAGAATAAGTTTTCCTATTAATATCACCTATACCTCCTACCTGGCCAGGCAGTTTGTGGGATCTTCCCATAACAGAGCTTTAATTCTTTCCTATTTTGATTCTTAACCCAGACAGCGCTCTGAAGCTACCACATTTATTTAGGCTGATACATTTATATATATATGGTACACTTTCTAAATATACCACACTATTATACCTTTTATTGACCGATTCATTTTTCCTTTTTCTTTTTTTTTCTTGAGACAGAGTCTCTGTCTGTCTTCCAGGCTACAGTGCAGTGGCTTGATCTCGGCTCACTGTAACCTCTGCCTTGCCAGGTTCAAGTGATTCTCTTGCGGCAGCTTCCCGAGGAGCTGGGATTACAGGCACCTGCCACCAGGCCTGGCTAATTTTTTTATTTTTAGTAAAGGCGGGGTTTCACCATGTTGGCCAGGCTGATGACCTATTCACTTTTCAATAAAATATTGCAATTGCTTTATTCCAAGTGTAAAATCTCATTAAATTTCTAAGGATACTAATCTGTCACATTAATTTCTGTCATTCCTAAAGTCATCTTGTTTTTTCCTCAAAATTGAGTGACATGTAGACACCCAAGGGCCAAATACTAAGTACACTTAAAAATAAAAGTATTTATATATGCCTGAAAAGTGTTTATCTTGTGTCCACAGTTTCATACGTGTTAAACATCTAGTCCTAACACACAGTACCAAAGAGACTATGTCCAGACAGAGACCAAAATAATAAATAGTAACAAATAATAACATTAATTGTCCTACCAGCTACTGTAACAGAGCTTCAAAGATAAGTTCTATAGGGAAGGCAATATGGAGTAGTAGCCCTGAACAATTCTTGGTAAGAACTCAGAAATGAGAGAATTAGAGTACAAAGCACCACTGAACGTGAATGGAATCATGTAGTTCCTTATCTTAGCCAAGTAAGTTTTAGACGTTAATGTTATAACTAGCATAAATACTAGGGAGGGGCCATTTATTGTACTTCATAAAGACAAATTATACCAAAGGAAAGCATAATTTAACATACCTGTTTAAAAATTAGTTTTGAAATTTTAATTAGGCTTTCAATTTCTAAAGCTTACCTTAAGCTTATTTGCCAAAAGAAATCTTTTTTTGTTTGAGACAGAGTCTCACTCATCACCCAGGCTGGAATGCAGTGACATAATTGCAGGTCACTGCAGCCTTGACCTCCTGGGCTCAAGTGATCCTCCCACCTCAGCCTCCTAAGTAGCTGCGACTACAGGCATGTGCCACCATACTTTGCTAATTTTTAAAAAATTTATTTTTTGGAGAAATGAGACAGCAACATGGTGCCCGGGTTGGCCTCCAGCTCCTGGGCTCAAACAGCCCTCCTGCCTCAGCCTCCCAAAGTGTTGAAATTACAGGGATGAACCACTGTGCCTGGCCAAAAATCTCTCATAAAATCATGAACTGTCATATTTTTTTTATTAAGATTTACATTAATTTGATATGCTGAGCTAAGAAAATGCTTGAGTGTTAAGTGCCCTGTAACTTTACAACAATGATCAAAATTATGAAAAACTCAATTTTTTGAGTTCTTCATACAGAAATAGGCAGCCAAGTTGAAGAAAAAGTTGTAAAGCTGACAAATATATAATTGACATATACCTGTTTGGGTGTGCTTATTTTTTCTGATTCAGAATTCTCTTTGGAATGGGTATCTTCATCTTTAGTAGTCAAAGGTGTGTCAACATACTCATCTTCAAAATCATCACTGTAATTTTCTGCAGAAAATAATTTTTAAAAGTACAAAGATCACATTGCCAAAAAAAGTGAAATTCCAGAAAAGGACTGTTGATTTCCAAAGGAAGAAGTCTGTATAAGAATAGTTTATTGAAATAGTAACATAAAGATGTCTTTAGAGAATTTTTCTTTGCAAAGATTTAATGAGAGTTCAATTTATAAGACTATCTTTGGTTTATGTCATTACTGTACTTTCAAATAGTTCTCAGAGTTTTATAATCTTTTATATTATTAACAAAATAAAAATTTCTGGAGCTGCCAAAAGGATCTTTTATTACCTTTAAAATAAAACTTTAATATTTATTTTTAAAAGACAAACATCTCCAATTGCTTACTTATAAAAGGAAGAACTTTGTTCTTTAAAGTTCTTTTAAAGTGGAACAAATCCACTTTAAAAAAGGCTGGATTTTGTTTTTTAAGTTGATTTTTTTTTTTTTTTTTGGTCTCTACAGGTATTTCTACTCTACTGTAACTCTTAACTAGTACTTATGAAAGATCTCATCTGACCCTTCCCATAGGTAAATACTGGCCTCATACAACTTACTGTTTCCCCAATTCTCCAAGTGCTTCTTATCTAAAGCCTCCAAATTATATCTCAATGACTTTGTGCAGGAGGAAAATGTGTCTCCATGTTAACTCATGCCTTCAATGTCCTTATGGGGAAGGTGGGACAGGAATTATTTGGCCAGGATCTCTTCTTCAATTTTTAACTTGCTCACAGTATTAATTTAGATCTGTGGCCTATGAAAAGAAACAGCCTTTTCAGAGTGAAATTGATTGTTTTAGAAACAAATGTGATCTAATTTGTATTTCAAAAAATTACATCGCATTGAGAAACAGGATGGTCTGATGGGAAAAAGTGCATAATGTACTAGAGTCTACTTCTGGAATCATCAGTTGTCATTAGTGTACCTTAATCTAGTACCTTAATCTGTTTTTTACTCTTCGGAGAATGAAGAAAATGACAACTTGTGTGTAATTAATATTGGAAGTTAAGGAATGTATTTGAGAGTGGGAATGAAAAAGGGATGCTTCCAGTGAGATCTGGCTACAGAAACATCTATATTTTAGTTCATAAGAAATATGAACCTGGAACAGCATGTGTATTGTTACTTAGGTAGATAAACTAGGTTAGCTGGTTAACTATGTCAATATATGTATTCTGAGGCTAAGAAGTTCACTTTTATTTCTTTTCCACGAGAAAGAACACTGCTTGATTTTTCTATTATCAGTAGACATACAGTTAAAATCACAAGACAGTTATAAGCAATTACTTTTTTTTGTTGTTGTTGTTGGGACAGTTTCGCTCTTGTTACCCAGACTGGAGTGCAATGGCGCGATCTTGGCTCACTGCAACCTCTGCCTCCTGGGTTCAGGTAATTCTCCTGCCTCAGCCTCCTGAGGAGCTGGGATTACAGGCACGCGTCACCATGCCCAGCTAATTTTTTGTATTTTTAGTAGAGATGGGGTTTCACCATGTTGGTCAGGCTAGTTCAAATTCCTGAACATCAGGTGATCCACCCGCCTCAGCCTCCTGAAGTGCTGGGACCAAAGGCATGAACCACCATGCCTGGCCTATTATAGCTACTCTTGTACTTAATCTAAATAAAAAGTTAATACAGCCAAGTATTATTTCTTATTAGGAAAAGTGCTAATCTAATAGCATTCCTCCAAACTACATTTTGTTATTTTCATTTAGTAACCAAACAGCTTACAGGCAAATACTACCAACCAACACATTAATGACTGACTTCCTCCCCAGAAACTTGTCATGAATTAAGTAGGTTTGAAGAAGGAAATGTCATTGGTAGACACATAGAGAAATGAGAGAAAAGAAACAAAGAAAAGGAAAACAGCACATTTCAGAGGTTTCAGGAACAAACATCAAGGCAAATTAAGTTTATAAAAAAATGAAAGAGTAAAATTAATTTGAGAGGGTGATTCTTATATGAGAAATATCAGAGATTGTATCTAGGCTCTTCCACATTGTTTGGAAAACAATGAGAATATTCACTTGTACCACTTTGATTTTTTGGCAGGAAGATGTCACATGTCCAAGGTACTAGGTTTCTATTATTCCCTATCCTTGTAGCTTCAAGAATATTATTTTCAGAAATAAACAAGTTCTTAAAGCTCAGATAAGCCATATTCAATGTAAAAGATCCTTTCTGAAGACATTTTTCATCTTCTGTTGGCAAACTTAGCTGCAAATTTTTATTTGTTTGCCAATCTAGAGGACTTTCTCCTCTGTCATGTTGGAGTTAAAGGGACTATATTTCCTTTGTAAACAATGAAATGTATAAAACTGTTTTCAGATATTAGACAATAGCAAAAAAACGTGATTCATAAGAAAACATGTGAACTAGCCCTACAATTAACTGAAGGCACATATATTCTGAAGTGTTGAGCAGGGGTGGGGAGATCAGGATAGTCCCACTGAGTTGAGGAGTGAGAGATAAGTTCAGAAAGGCCAAGGCAATGAGTGAGGAGGTACCTAAGTAAAAACAGAGCCCCAGAAACCTGCAAAGGGTACCCTTGAGTCTTTGCTGAATACTTAATGCAGAAAATGAGCCAAGAACAAGGGGGATGCTGTAAGTTAGACAATTCTCAGAGTTCATACAAGACAAGGAAACTTTCAAACTCTAATCTGCCTAAGTGGAGAGTCCTCATTGATCATTAGGGGCACTGAGCAAAAACCTCAGAAGGGATGTGCCTTGGCAGTAGGGTTAGATATTACTAGAACTACTCTAGACTTCCGCTAACAAAGCATAAGAAAAGCCTTAAAAAAAATCAAGTGGTGAGATTAACTATTTACCAAAGCTCAATAATTCTCTTTAAAAGAAGAAAATCAAATCCAGATGCTGAATAACAAAATTCACAATACCAAATATCCAATCAAAAATCACTAGACTTCTCAGAGGCAGAAAAAAAGTGTCAGGAAACCAGGAGAAAAAATAGCCAAGAGAAAAAAGACCCAGAAATGAACAAATACTGAGATCTGTAAAATATGCTTAATATTAAGGACTTGAAAAAAATAAACATAATGAGGAAAAATACTAAAGAAATTTGTAAAAAAAGATCCAAAACAAACAGTTAGAGTGAAAGAAAAAAATGGATGGGATTAATAGCAGATTAAAGAAAAAGACCAGTAACTTGAAGCAACAGAACAGTGATAAGAACTGTAGCATAGAAAGAAAAAAAGGTTTCAAAAACTGAAACAGTCTTAGTCACGCATAAAACAAAGCTTAGCATTAGAACATATTTATAATTAGGGTCAGATGGCAGGAAGTGGAAAGCAGCATTAACATTATTTTAAGAATTCATGGCCAAGAGATTTTTTTTTGATGGAAACTATAAATCCATCAATCAAGGATGCTCAAGTAACTCTGAACAGAATAAATATATGAAAAGCATACCATGACACACCATTGTCAAACTGCCAAAAAAACGATAAAACCTTGAAAATAGAGAAAAAAAAGGCATTATATATGCAAAATAACAATAAGAGGAATTACCAGAAATTTCTCATGAGAAATAAGATCAAAAGACAATAAAATCATGAAACTGCCCAAAGGGAAAAAAAAAAAATCTACATAAAATTCTATATCAAGTAAAAGTATTCCTCAAAAACAAAGGCAAACTATATTCTCAGAAAAACAAATGCTGAGAGAAGTTGTTCCTAGTAGTAATCCGCACTACAAGAAATGTTAAAGGAGGCTCTTTGTGCTGAAAAAAAATAATATGAGATAGAAATTCAAATCTATGCAATGGAATACAAAGCATTAGGAATTGTAAATATATGGATAAATATACATTTTTACATAAATATCCATTTCATAATATTCTTTAAAAGTACTTTTAAATGATAATTGATCGCTTAAACAACAACAATAATAATACATTGTGGGGTTTTTAAGAAATGCAGAAGAAAAATGTTGACAAAATAGCAAAATAGTCGAGGAAAGTTTATTGTTGTTAGAGTTCACATAAATATAGCTATATAATGTTATTTGAAAGTAGACTGTAATAAAGTGAAGACATATGTTGTGACTCATGGGGCAACTAAGGAAAAAAAAACAGTAAAGAAGTATAGCTAAAAAGCCAAAAGAATAAAATAGAATACCATAAATAATACAACAGAAGGCATGACAAAAGAAACAAAAACAAAAAGATGAAGAGAGAAAACAAACGGCAAAAGTGTAAACAACCATATCCATAAATACATTCTTGTAAACACATGAATTAAAAGGCAGAGATTGTCAGATTGGACAAAAATGAGAAAACCAACTATATGCAGTCTATGAAAAAACATTTTATTTTATTAATTTTTTTAGAGAGAGAGAGAGAGAAAGAAAGAAAGAAAGTAAGAAAGAAAGAAGAAAGAAAGAAAGAAAGAAAGAAAGAAAAAGAAAAAAAGGAATGAAGAAGAGGAAAAAAGAAGAGGAGGAGGAGGGAGAGAGAACGGGAGTGTTGCTTAATTGCCCAGGCTAGAATGCAGTCTAAAAATGGGTATTGAAAACCTCCCTTATACCATCAATTGTGCTTAATAATGGCCAACCAGTATTTCATTTAAACCCCTGAGTAGGTGTGATGTGGTACTGATAAGAGTGCATATCTTGTGTGTTTAAAGTGGAGAGTTCTATAAATGTTTATTAAGTTTACTTCTTCCGGATCTGAGTTCAAGTCCTGGATATCCTTGTTAATTTTCTGTCTCATTGATCTATCTAATACTGATGTTGAAATCTCCCACTACTACTGTGTGGGAGTCCAAGTCTCTTTACAAGTCTTATGTATCCTATATTGGGTGTGTACACATCCAGGATCGTCAGCTCTTCTTGTTGCATTGATCCTTTTACCATTATGTCCTCTTTTGATCTTTGTTGCTTTAAAATCCATTCCATCAGAGGCAAGAATTGCAACCTCTACTTTTTATTTATTTATTTATTTATTTATTTTTGCTCTCCATTTGGTTGACAAATCTTTCTCCATTCCTTTGTTTTGACTCTTTATGTATCCTTGCATGTAAGATGAGTCTGGATGCAGCATACCAATGGGTTTTGGCTGTATCTTTTGATTGGGGGATTTAGTTAATTTAAATTTAAGATTATTGCCATTTGATGTTAGCTGGCTATTTTGCCCATTAGTTGATATAAATTCTTCATTATGTTGATACTCTTTACTTTTTGGTATATTTTTAGAAAGGCTAATACTGGTTGTTCCTTTCTATGTGTAATGCTTCTTTCAGAAGCTCTTGTAAAGCAGGCCTGGTGGTAATGAAATCTGAATACTTGCTTATTCACAAAAGATTTTATTTTTCCTTCGATTGTAAAGCTTAGTTTGGCTGGATGTGAAATTCTGGGTTGAAAGTTCTTTTCTTTAAGGATGTTAAATATTGGCCCCCACTCTCTTCTGGTTTGTAGAGTTTCTGCTGAGACATCTGCTGTGAGTCTGATAGGCTTCCCATTGTGGGTAACCTGACCTTTCTCTCTGGCTGCCCTTAGTATTTTCTCCTTCATTTCAACCCTGGTGAATCTAATGATTATGTGCCTTGGGGTTGCTCTTCTTGAGGAATATCTTTGTGGTGTTCTCTGCATTACCTGGGGTTGAATAATGTCCTGCCTTGCTAGGTTGGGAAGGTTTTCCTGAATGATATCCTGAAGACTATTTTTCAGTTTGCATTCATTCTCTTTGTCGCATTCAGGTACACCTATCAAACGTCGATTAGGTCTTTTCACATAGTCCCATATTTCTTGGAGACTTTGCTCATTCCTTTTTATCCTTTTTACTCTATCTTGTCTTCTCGTTTTATTTCATTAAGTTGTTCTTCAACCTCTGATATCCTTTCTTCTGCTTGATCAATTTGGCTGTTAAAACTTGTGCATACTTCATGAAGTTCTCGTGTTGTATTTTTCAACTCCGTTAATTCACTTATATTCCTCTCTATATTATCTATTCTTGGTAGCATTTCATCAAACCTTTTTTCAAAGTTCTTAGTTTCTTTGCATTGGGTTAGAAAAAGTTCCTTCAACTCCCAGAAGTTTCTTATTCACCTTCTGAAGCCTGCCTCTGTTAATGGAACACAGTCTTTCTCCATCAGGCCTTGTTCTGTTGCTGATGAGGAACTGTAATCCCCTGTAGTGGGAGAGGCATTCTGATTTTGGGTATTTTCAGCCTTTTTAGGCTGGTTTCTTCCCTTTGTTATCCATCTGTCGTGTTTGTATTTACTGCCTTTCTAATTAGGTTTCTGAGTGGACGTCCAATTTATTGATTCACCAGCACCGGAATCTGAGCAACCCACTGTGCCAGCTAAAACTGCAGTGTTAAGATTGATGGTGCTTTTCTGACTGCACCAAAAACTGCCATGCCAAGGCGCCGGAAAAACCACTGCGCCGGCCACAAGAGTCGCGGTGGCGACCCATGGGGCTCCACCGCTGGGAATCTCCTGGTCCACGAGCAGCAAAAATTCGTCTAAAAGTGTGGCGTCCTCTTGTTTTCTGTGCTTTCACTGAGAGCCACAATCCCGAGCTGCTAATGATCAGCCATCTTGGATCTCTCCCCCCCCCTTAACAATAGTTAAGAATATTGTTAAGAAATAACAAAACATTTTAAATATAAAAGAAAAAACATTTTAAATATAAAAACACATATGCATTAAAAGTCAAAAGGTGGGAAAAGACACACCTCTCCACCACCATACTCTGGAGGTCTTTGTCTTGTCTTCACAGATTCCCACAATCCTGGCACAAAAGTCCTTTTTGCTTTCTTCCCAAGTGGTCTACTGCCCACTCTCAACAAATGAGGCAGTTCACTTTTAACAATTTATTAGCACCTCAGATTATAACATAGGCAAACCCACTCTATTCAAAGCTCTTTCTACAACAATATGATTTTCCTTTTAATTATATCTCTCTTATCACAGTCTTTATTAAAAGCTATATTATCTTTTCAAATATTATAAATTTAAACACCAATGAAATTACCTGCCAGTTCCTCGTGTTTCAATCCATTCTCATGTTTGTCATCAGTTAGGTCTAAATTGGCTTGATTACTGGAAAAAATATTTTTTAAATTTAGCATTACATGTTAAAAATATAACCTCATACAACTCTTTTTGTGTATCTTAAAAAAAAAATCCCTAAAATTATACATGTACTCCCTCAAGTACTCTTGTTCTATCAAAACCTAAAAATTTGGGAACTTCTAAGGAAAGTTTTTTGAAAATTAAGCATCTTCAAAACATATGATTAATTATAGCTATAAAAATATTACAAAGGAAAAAGATGCCCTATTTCTTAAATACACAATTTTATTACTATGTGCATTTACACATACAAATTTTATTTTATAACCCTAGATATCCCTCTACACTAAAGATTAGAAATTGAACACAAGCTATGAGAACCAGTGAATCCATATGAAAGTCAGAAAAAAAAATGCTAAGGTCAGCACTCACCTGCTACTAAGCAATTTAATCCTGAAATGGAAGCTGAATAGGAACCAAAATCTAAGTGAGGGGACAAAGGAGCTTGAGTATGATTTAATTACATTGGATATTTAATTCATATACTGCTTTCTCTCAAACCAGGAATCAGTTCTACCTTTTCAGTCTATCAACCCTCTTTAGTAAGATCGTTGGAGAAACTATAAAACTAAAATCATACTGATGATAGGAACTAACACTTATCATTGCATGCTCAATGCTCTCCTGTACTTTGACCAGCCTGTTCTAGAACAGAAATATCAATAGTTAAGAATATTGTTAAGAAATAAGAAAAATGTTAAAAAATGTTGCAAAGTGGCAAAGAGTTGTGACCCACAAACCTGAGCGTGCTTAATCTGTACTGACACCCTTGGGAGAGGCAATGACCACAGGCCCTGAATATCCTTGTATATTCTTGCTGAATATACCAACAGTGCAAGAGCCTGACCATTATTCACTATACCATTCGGGTAATATTTCCGAACAGACAAAGAGCAGGCTTTTTCCACTTACTATAAAAGCAATATATTTTCCAAGCTCGGTATTCCTCTTCTATAACAGTGTTTCTCCTCTGTAACACAACCCTGCATGTGTGCATCCATCCATCACGGATCCTTTGCCTTGTCCTCAGCATTCTTATAAGGCATGGGGAACCAATGTGAACAAATGTGACATTCAGGTACTGCCTTTGCTCTTTAATTCTGATCCAGGAATTGTGTGTCTATCGTCAACATCATAAAACTGGAAGGCTAACTTGTTAGCTTGCCAAGTAGAAATCTCAGACCCCGTAGAGTTCATAACAGCAAATGTATTTCTTTATCCACTGTCCATAAAAAACTTATCATCCTGTAGAGACTAGGCACTCTAAGAATCAGAGATTATGATTCTCCTGACCCTTAACTTAATTATACCTTTGTGTTCTCAAAATCCTAAATAAAACTGTACAACTGCTTTATACTTGTAATTTTAAGAATTATACGGATAACTAAATAAGGGCATTAAAGACCTCAGGTTTCAAAGGTCTTGAGAATGGCAATGGTCTAGTGTAATTAAGGGAGGATCAGCTCAGTAAACTAGTGGAATTTCTAGAATAAATGAGGTTTTCCCAATAACAATCAGGGTCAACCATACAGAGGTTAAGACAAAGATCACATCTGTCTTTGATCCTTGGTTCCCATTTCCCTTTCTGTTATTTTTTTCCTGAAAACGACTTAATAAATTACTTTCCCAGTAAGGACTTCTTGGCAATGCACTATCAGTCTCAACAGCATAAAATTTCAGATTCTGAAGGCAGCATGGGCTCTCAAATACAAAGAAAACATATTCTATTCATACATAAGAAAAACCCTAACTATAATGACGAATAGATAATAATTTTAAAAATAAGATTTAATTTTGCCTGTTTACCTATTTAAAACCATGCATATATCAGCCTTCCAAAAATATAGAAAACATGAAAACCATGAATAGTTTACACTGTACTTTACCTTTGTAAATCTTTAAAATATACAGAGTCATTAGAATCCAATTCCTTATTTAATCTCGAATAATCAATGGAAGATGTCAAGCCTTTCTCAAGCCTGGCAAAAAATTGTTCTTTCTCCTCTTGTTCTTCTAATGTGTCCAATCCCACTCTGAGAATACTATGGTTGAGCTCAGAAACTACCAGTTCTAAATGGAAAGCACAAATATATTTTAGTGATATACAGAATTTTGAAAACAATGATTTGAATGATGCATCTATTCACATTATGTAGTACATTTTAAAAATTTACAAGCATTTACTCTCACTCATCAAATATGATTTCCTATTGATAATATGTAAGGTTTAAAGCTTCTCTAGAATAATTCTAAACCTCTAGGAAGATATTAAATCTGTCTACATGCTTCAGTAAAGAAGGTTTCAAGATAGTTATGTCAGTTTTTGTAATTCTGAATATAAGCATAGTAATTAATTTACCAACTCATATCCCTTACATTTCTTACCATTTGTTTCTAAGCTGTCAGTACTTAAGAGAGAGGTTCCACTGCTCTTAAGAAACTGAATCTTTTCAGCAGACTCCTCTTCTATTTCCGTAACAGGTTGAGAAGTCTTCTTTGTTTTCAAATAGCTCACATTTGTTCCAAGCAGTCCTAGGAACAGAATTTAATACAAATGAAGATTTATGTTAGAAAACTGTTTTGACCACTATGACAACGCAATAATACAGTTAAGCTAATTTTGTTCACAGTAGCTACAAAATAAAGCTGCTCTATTAAATAAAAATCCATCAGACTCAAAACTCACAAAAGAAAGATTATACTTCTATTTGGTGGTACTGGATCATATTAAATAGAATACTTCAAATATTTGCATCATGAGACAAAATTTTTTAAATTACTTTGAAGCCCAAGTACTTAATTCAGTATACTATATCACTTTAAAAAGTATCTTCTGCCTTATTCCCTCTGTTCTTTACATTTCTCAGAGGGTTTTTGTTGCTGAACTCTTAACGATATTGGAAATAGACTGTAGGTGGCATGAATTAGTATAACAAAACACAAGGGGGCAAAGTAGGTACAAATTAAAAACCTACTGGGCTAGACAGAAGCCTTTGTTAGTGTAAATATCATTTCAAAAAATAGATGGAAATATTAAAAGATCTTTCAAAGTCATTATTTCTAAAACAATGAAATCAGTGGCTCACTGCATGAGACGTACTCATGCTGGGATATGTGCATTACTGTTGGGGGATGGGAGGCTATTATAGTCTCTCACAGCATACAGGAGTTTGAAATTTTCTGTAAGGCTAATATATATTAAGCATATTAAGTGTTTTATGACTGACTAGATATTTGGTGATACTAAGACATTGTTATAGATATTTCTTAGATAATATTAAGGTTTTTTATTTTTATTTTTTAATAGAGATGGGGTTTCACCATGTCGGCCAGGCTGGTCTTGAACTCCTGACCTCAGGTGATCCACCCACCTTTGCCTCCCAAAGTGCTGGGATTACAGGCGTGAGCCACCACGCCCAGCCTATGGTTATGTTTTTTAAAAGAGAGTACTTATTTTCAGAGATACTTTGAAATATATGTGGAGAGAACTGATATGCTGTTGGAGAATTGTTTCAGAATAATCCTGAGCGTCAGAAAGTGGAGAATAAGAGAGGATATTGATGAAACATGATTGGCCATGAGTTAATAACAATTGTCACAGATAGGCAATGGGTACATGGAGTATTTCCTATTGATAATATGTAAGGTTTAAAGCTTCTCTAGAATAATTCTAAACCTCTAGGAAGATATTAAATCTGTCTACATGGAGTATATTGTATTTAGGTATATGTTTGAATTTTTTTGTAATAAAATATTCTATAAATCTTGGGTAACAACGTATAACTTACGTTTATGTAGCAAAAGTTCTGACTATTATTTATTTTATTCAAATTTTTTGACAAACTATGTGCCTAGAACATTGTTAGTGCCAGCTATACAATGAAGGCCTTTACCATCATGAAGGTTAAAATCTAACAGGAGGAGATAATAGCAAGTATTTATGGGTGCCTACTACACACCAGGCATTGTTCTAAATACTGGGCTTTATCAGTGACTAAAAGACAAAAATCCCTGCTCATTTATGTGAGTCGAGGCAGGCAATAAGTAAAATAAATACGTACACTGAATTAAACAGTACATTAGAAAACAGTTAAGTGCCAAGAACAAAAATAAAACAAGAAAGAGGAACAGAGAGTGCAGGAATGGAGGGCACTACAACTTTAAACAGGGTGGTCAGGAGGGCCTTTACTGAGAAGTTAACATTTGAGCTATGGCTTGGTGGGGGTAAGGGACCAATCCACATGATACATGGGTGAAGAGTGTTTGAGGAGGAGGAAAGAAGTTTAAAGCCCTTAAGCCAAGAAAATGCCCAAGCATGTGTGAAGAGAAAGAAGGCCAGGGCAGTAATATTGGCATAAGCAAGCGAAAGGTAGTCTAAGTTGAGAGGTCAAAAAACTCAGGGTACAGAACTGGGGTGGGTGGTAGCTTGAAGGTCATTAGCTTTTATAACAAGTGAAATAAGAAGCTATTAGAGGGAGTAGGTGGCTATGATGTGGTAGGCAAGATTTTTTGGTGTAAAGAAGTTTAAGGAACTTATAAGTCAGTTATTAGAGGCATTAGCTATGTGGTTAATAGTCACCAATAATTAGACAAGAGAATTGGAGACTCGCAGTGAAAGAGCAGCTAAAATCTTAAGACGAATGAGGAGAAATAACCCGGAGTTCAGTAAATAACTGCAGCAAAGAGACACAGTAGGTAGGTGGTCTGATGGCATGGTTCATAAGGACACTGGAAGGAGAATGGTCTAGAAAATAGCAATGAACAATAATCTACTCCTTTTTTCCAAGTCTAATGGAACAAGAAATGTGGCAAAGAAAACAGTAACCACTGGAGGTTACTAAAGAAGCAGCAGTGTTCACAGAGCAAAGTTAAATGTGAATTACAAGTCTGCTTTGAAGGAATTATATGAGAATAATGGGGATGGTATACCAAGACAGGAAAATCTAAAAATATTTCTGTGAGGAAGTAGTATTTCTGCTAAGATGTGAAGAAAGAGCAGGAAGTAACTAGGTGAACTAGGACAGGGAGACCAGTACAGGTAGAGGGATTAGTAGGTACAGAAGTGTGACAATGGGAAGGGCAGGCCACATTTGCTAATGCAAAAAGGCCAGTGAGGCTGGATCCAGATGGTGAGGGTGAGCCTGAGAGGAAATAAGCCCAGAGAAGGAAGTCGATGGTTGGACCATGCTTGTCCTCATAGGCCAGGCATAGGGTCTTACTCTGTATTCCAAAAGCACTAGAAAAAACTTGTAAAGTTATACAGTATCAAAATCTCCTTACTTTACTAGTATATGTTTGTTGTAAAAAACTGATATATGGAAAAGGTAAATAATTATAATGTATGTTTAATTTTGTTTTTTTGCATTTTAATGTTCTTTTGTTCTTTGTTTTCTTCAAAAACCAGAAGACTGAAAACATATGCTATAAATATTAAGATTAGAAATATTTTGGTTAGAGGGACGCCTTATTAAGAAGTCACGAATTCTGTCTTCAATTTCCTAATTACTGTATTCTTGGAAAAGGCTAAGAATCAATTTATTTTATGTCTTTCTGTGAATAATGGGTCTATTGGATCAAACAGTAACCTCCATACAGTTGTAAAAAACCAAGAGCTAGATCTGTAGATGCTTCAAATGAAAAAGTACGTGCCAAGGTTGGTGTGCTACTGTGGCAACATGTCCAGGGTCTCACCCGGCTCTAAAGCAGGACTTGGGGTTGTAGCTCACACTAACCAAGCTCACAAGAGACTAATGTAACAGAAATCAAGATCCAGTTTAATTATTTACAAAAAAGAATACAACCAGCAAGAGGATGAGATAGTTTCACTTTCTAAGCAGAACGTTTTATTCCTATGGCAACTGGGAAACGAGCAAGATTGTAATGTAAAAGTTGCTCAATGTTGATGTTTAATGGTACCTCTCTTTAAGATTGGTAAAGCATTCCTCTTCTGAAAACGGGTGTGGAATTCTCCCTCAGAAGCTTCTACATTCTTGATATAAGAATTATATCTTGTCTTTTTATACTAGTGCCTAGTATTTAGAACATAATATGAACTCAGTAAATGTTTGTGACTGAATCAGGGACCAGGTTAGTCCCCTGGGCAGGGAAACCTCCCTCTGTTTAAGTTGACATTGCCAGTTTGCTTCTTGACTATCCTCCTTTATTTTTACTAATCAAATCTATTTTTAATACATTTAAAAAAATTATTAATACCATTAGGTTGCATGTGAGTATTTTTGGTCTAGGAGCTATTCTTTTCTGTAGGATTGGTTTATATCTATCTGCTCTGAGTCATTATCTTCTAGTCAAAAGGCTTTATGTCCCAAATCTTTGTCAACAATTCCAATAGTACTTCATCTTATAACATTCTTTTCAAACATTAAAAGTGGGGAGAGATTCTAAAATATAATTCTTCACTACAAACTCGAGCATGTTGCATAATCTTTTATTTAAAAACTCAGCGGATTTTTCAATAAGGAATTTCTTTAAAGTATAGTATTAAAAAGAACAGAGAAGTAACTGTCAAATCTACATTAACATGCATTTATTAAACAAATTTATTACTTAATGTTGATAATGTTGAGGGTCAGGGGATACAAGGACAAAGAAGTGTTTCCTGCCTTGCCCTCACAAAGCTCCCAACCTCAGGAGCTGTCCTACAGGTTACAACTATCAACACAATGTGTGTTATTATGGTGTTTTGACATCAAAATGAAGGGGAAACTAATTGTGACAAGAGAGCTAGAAGACAGAGTGAAGGACTGTAAAAAGTGGTGATGCTAGGTTTTATTGGGCAAGAAAGATGAAAAGAAAAGGCATTCTAATGGCAAGGAAGCATGAGATAATACACAGAGGCATGGAGGTCTATGGTGTTTCCAGGAGATAAGGAATGTTAAATATGGCTAGAGCACACAAGAAGGCAGGGTTCCAATCAATTAATTATTACATGAATTCAGGCTCAATTTTATGGGGGAAAAACAATAGCCCAAAGGTAAATTTTTTCCCAAGAAAAGAGATTCAGAAATTATATCAGTTTACAAAATTTTGCTTAATGCTGATACACAAATGGTCTGAATGTAGGTCCTTAAATAGAAGCAGTCTGGGTTGTTTACAGATATGGCATTATCATATATAATAAACGTATCAGGCCAGGTGTGGTGGCTGATGCTTGTAATCCCAGTGTTCTGGAAGGCCAAGGTGGGAGGATTGCTTGAGGCACGTTTGAGATTAGTCTGGGTAATACAGAGAGAAATCCTATCTCCTATCTCTAAAAGAAATAAAAAAATTAGCCAGGTATATTGGCATGCACCTGTAGTTTTAGCTACTCAGAAAGCTGAGGTGGGAAGATTGCTTGAGTCCAGGAGTTTGAAATTGCAATATGCTATAACTATGCTACTGTACTTCAGCCTGGTTGTATCATATACATATATATGAGGCATATATACACATACATACATATATATATATGCAGTAAATTTTTTTTACTACTGTCATTAACAAACTGTGATATCAAAGTCTACAGGTTAAAATCTTCCCAATGCAATGACATTAATATACTGCCAGAACACAACATCTTATTAAATCACCTATAATTAATTTATCATTAAACAAATATACCTGAATTATTTGTCACCTTAATTTGAGTAAATATAAATTATCTCCATGTAAAATAAGCTGATATTATAACACAGAAGCTCAATTACTTAATAAAGTACTAATTATATGAAAATCAATTCAAACTTCAAAAATCCACATTATTAGTATTACTTTCTTTATATATTTGTAGTGAAGTAACAAAATCCAGAAGTCTTGACTGACCCCTTGTGGTCAAATAACTGTGAAATGAAAAATCAGCAACATTTACCATCATCCTTAAAATCATCTTCAGTTATCCACCAAGGCACCGTATCTTTCTTCTTCATGTCTTTTCTAGGTTGTCTAGCTCTTTTGTCTGAATTTTCAGAAGAATCATCTGAAAGCTAAATCAGATACAAGATACTGAATTTGAAAATACAGTGTAAATTCAAGAATCTCAGATTCATCATTAAGTATGTTTCCATTAGTTTGCTCACAGTTCAGCTGTCACATAGATAAATAACATTTTCACCAATAATATATAAGTTCATATCTACAAACATGTGGCCAAAATAACAAAAATCAGACATACATCTTTGAGCATCAATTTAATAATTAATCAAGTAAACCAGGAGAATAACAACAAAGAAATGAAACTTGATCAAGAAATTTTTTCAGGTAAGAAAAAACAGGAGGATACAATCCTATTTCCTAGACATTCTCTAAGGTTTAAGAATAAATAATGTTTGAACAAAACTGCATAGCATCACTCTAGAAAAACAGAATTTCAAGATAAGGAAGAACTGAGTTTCAGGGTGTGAAGAGGAGGAGGAAATTGACCAGAAAAATCAGCATTTTTTTCAGTGATTAATAAACATTTATTTGCTTTTTTCTATTGTTCCAGTTCAAATTTTACTACAATCCTAAATCCCATGCTCTAACCTCAATTCCACCCCCAAGCACTTTGGCCAATAACTTGGTCACTTTCTTCACTGAGAAATAAAAACCGTCAAACACCACCCACCTCACTCCACTACTAAACTTATCTGTGAAGGCACTTTTTTCGTCTTTCAAACAACACAATATTTTCCTCCACTACAAGTGGAACTTCCCTAGGTTCTCCTTCCTTGGTTATCCCACTTGATTTCTGTATCTTCACTCCCTTCTCTCTCTACTCCCCTCCCTTCCCTCTGATTATATACCTGCTCAGCACTGCATCTCCAGTGCCTAGCATAGGAGCAGGCAAAACTGTGGAATGAAAAAATGAACATTCTACTCAACTTTGAAAAATAAAGTAAAACAACAAAATTCCTTATCCCTACCTCTCTTTTACTCTACCTATCATATTTCCTTGATATACCAACTTCTTGAGTTCACTGCTTTACCCCTTATAATCTGGTTCCCATCTAAAACAGCTCTCCTCCAGGCACTAAAAGCCCCCTAAATGTCACAAATAAAGTACCACTGTCAGTTATCCTCCCTGATGACATCATGGAATTTGCTACTGGTGATCAACTCTTACTCTTACTTCTTGAAATTCTCTACCTTGACTTTAGTAGCTTCACTTCCTTCAGGTTATTCTTCAGATCTGTGGCTACTCCCACCCACCTATCTTAATAGCTTTTGTTTTTTTTTTTGCCCATTTATTTAACAGAAGACTTCTCCAGGACACTGCTCTTGATCCTTTTTCAATCTCATGCCACATAACTTTTTCTGGGGAAGAAACCAACATTTACTACATGCCTGCTCTATGTCAGGATCTACACTCAGGTTATCTCACCTAATCTTTAAACAATCCTGCAGAAATTTACTCATGGGGAAACTGAAGCTCTAAGAGGTTAAGCAACTTGCCCAAGTTGCTACTGCTGCTGTTAGTAAGTGTTACAAAGTGACATTTAAACCCATGTCTTAGAGGGAGGAGGAGGCAATGCGCGGGAGGAAAGATGGAAGACTATCAGGCTGCGGAGGAGACTGCTTTTGTTGTGGATGAAGTGAGCAACATTGTAAAAGAGGCTATAGAAAGCGCAATTGGTGGTAAGCTTATCAACACAGCAAAGTGAACCAATGGACCACAAATGTAGTAGAACAAACTTTAAGCCAACTCACCAAGCTGGGAAAACCATTTAAATACATTGAAGAATGGCGCAGGATTACACACAGCAAGTTCCTGCTTCTGGGACAGCTCCACTGACGGGAGCTGCACCGTGCGATGGGAGAATAAGACCATGTACTGCATCGTCAGCGCCTTCGGACTGTCTATGTGACCTGCAGTCCAGCCTATGACCTTTCTCCTTTGTCTCTAGTTCATCCTCTAAACACCAGCCATGAATTCAGTGAACTCTTTTCTCGTTCTCTTTAAGTGTGTTTTGTGGCACTCTCAAAGTGTAGAGAAAAAAAACCAAATGACCACATTGTGACGTGAACCGCACCGAAGTCAGATGAGTCTCCCTGCAGGTCACCGGCAGCCTGTGTTGCCACTTGTCTTAACTCTGAATATTTCTTTTCAAAGGTGCTAAAATCTGAAATCTGCTAGTGTGAAACTTGCTTTACTCTCTGAAATGATTCAAATACACTAATTTTCCATACTTTATACTTTTGTTAGAATAAATTATCCAAATCTAAAAAAAAAAAAAAAAAAAAACCCATGTCTTACTAACTCCTGTCCACTTTCCGCCATACTATGTAGTTCCCCAACTAGAATACTGTTATCTGAGTGATGTTTTAAACTTCTAAAACAACAGCGCTTCCACTTGCCAAACAAAAAACTCTACCCCAGTGACCTGAAGAATGTCAATTTTAAAATGTTAAAAAAGAACTTACTGTCTTCACTAACAACCAGGTAGGAAGACAGGAGGAGGGAAGAAAATATTGCCTATCCCATCTGAACTTCTGAAATTAGTTAGCTACATCACTTTTCACTTATTCTCTAAACATCAGTACCATTTTGAGGTGTTCCATTTCTCTCTCCTCCCACTTTTTTCATTTTGCTTATTTGCAAAACAGGCATAGTATCACTGATCTTGTAGGGCCATGTCAAAGAGAAAAATAAATGAAGATTGTTCACCCTACTTTCTAATACATGGTAAGTGTTCTCACTTTAAACAATCTTTTACAATGCTTCCTAGCACTTTCATTATTTTTAAGAAGATAATTCATTAAAAATAAAACAAAACAGGCTGGGCACAGTGGCTCACACCTATAATCCCGGCACTTTGGGAGGCCGAGGCAGGAATTTGAGACCAGCCTTACTAACGTGGTGAAACCCCATCTCTACTAAAAATATAAAAATTAGCCAGGCGTGGTGAAATGTGCCTATAATCCCAGGTATGCATGAGGTTGAGGCAGGAGTATCGCTTGAACCCAGGAGGTAGAGGTTACAGTGAGCCAATATCATGCCACTGCACTTCAGCCTGGGTGACAGAGCGAGGTTCCATCTCAAAAAAATAAAAAATAACCAAAACAAAACAAAAACGCTGATTCTCAGATATAACAGTTGTTAGCAAGGATATGGAGAAACAGGAACTCTGGGCTGGGCACAGTGGCTCACACCTATCATCCCAGCACTTTGGGAGGCCAAGGCGGATCACTTGAGGTCAGGTGTTTGGGACCAGCCTGGCCAACATGGTGAAATCCTGTCTCTACTAAAAGCACAAAAATCAGCTGGGCATGCTGGTACGTGCTTATATTCCCAGCTACTTAGGTGGCTGAGGCAGGAGAATCGCTTGACCCTAGGAGGCAGAAGTTACAGTGAGCCAAGACTGTACCAATGCACATGCCAGCCTGGGCAACAGAGCAAGATTCAGTCTAAAAATAAAAAAAAAAAATGGAAACTTTGATAAAGTAATACACTATTGGTGAATAGTGTATTTCTATAGCAATAGTGTATTGCTATTTTAAAATAGCACAGCCATTTTAAAAAACAGTCTGGCAAACACAGAGCTACTATATGATCCAGCAATTTCACTCTTTGGCATATACACAAGAGGAACGAAAACACATCCACACAAAAACTTGTACATGATTGTTCATGGCAGCATTGTTCCTAACTGCCAAAAGGTAGAAAGAACCCAGATGTCAACTGATAGGTTGAAAAACAAAACGTGGTACATTTACACAATGAAATATTACTCAGCTATAAAAAAAAATGAAATATTAATACATACTAAAATATGGATGAACCTTGAAAACATCATGCTAAGTACAAGAAGCCAGACCCAAGGGGCCTCATGATATATGATTCCATTTCTATGAAATGTCTGTAACAGGCAAACGTTTAGAGACAGAAAGTAGGTTAGTAGTTTCCTAAGGCTAGGGAAGGGGGAATGAGGAGATGGAGTAACTACTAACAGATACGGGATTTCTTTTTGGGGTGATAAAAATTCCTAAAATTGATTGTGGTGGTGGTTATATAACTCTGAAACCACAGAACTGCACATTAAAAATGGGTGAATTAAATGGTATGTGAATTACGTCTCAATAAAGCTATTTTTAAAAAGCTAGTATCACCACTTTCCTAAAAACAAAGATATATAAACGATGCCTTTGAATTAATTGTTTGAACAATAATTTACCAGAGTGAGAAAAGAGGTTAGCATGACTCTAAAATCATGACTTTCATATTAAAAAAAATAAAACTGAAACATTGCAAAGGAGGTTGGATATAAGAGGGAGAGCGATAGAGACAGAAGAGTCGGGGAAGAAGAGTGTTCGAGACTGTGTATGCTGGAAGGGTGGTAAATGAGGGAAGAATAAAAACATTTAAAAGGCCTATTCTGCTACCTTTTACAATAAAAATCATTCCTATAAATTAAAATTTCAAAATGTGCCTGTATTTGAAATTTAAACAATCAACTTTTCAAACAGTAAATGAAACTTATTCCAAGAGCTTATTACATCTTAGCAACTGGTAGATGTTTTTTTTTAATCCTCAAACAATCCTACAAAGAAGGCATTATTTTTCCATTAGACAGATAATGAAACTAAAGTTTTTTTTTCTATTAAACTCCCCTTTTTAAACAAGAATGTTTGAAGTATAATAGCTTAAAATGTGACTCTCTTGAATGTTCTACAAGGCCCCTTCATTTATATAGAGTTAGGCATTGCTTAATGATGGGGATATGTTCTGAGAAATAGGATTTCATTGTAGGAGCATCACAGAGTGTATTTACACAAACTAGATGGCCACATGGTATAGCCTACTCCATACCTAGGCTATATGGTTCAGCCTATTGTTCCTAGGCTGCAAAGCTGTTCAGCATGTACTGCACTGAATCTTGCAGGCAACTGTAACACAATGGCAAGCATTTGTATCTAAACGTAGAAAAGCTACAGAAAACATATGGTACAAAAGACTTAAAAGGTACACCTTTATAGGACAGCCCCTTTAGAGTCTTATGAAATCATTGTTATACATGTGGTCTGTTGCTAACCAAAATATCTTTATGAGGTACATGACTGTACAGAGAACGTGGTATATCATTTGATTTATTCATTGAAATATTTAAGTACTGTAGATATAGTAATGAACATGTAGATATAGAATAGCAATGAACATAGAGTCAACACTTTACAGACCATACAATCTTATAATGGGAAGCAGTAAACAGACCCACACGGAAAAGTAATTAATGTGCTAAATGCTATAAAAAGAATTAAATACATACTAGATTAACAAGTGACTTCGTGGTTACCTTTTACTGGACAAACAGAAGAAGCCTCTCTGAAGTAGTAATATTTAAGGTAAGATCTTCACCAGCCAGGTGAAGAATTGGCAGAGGGAACAGTGGGTGCAAAGATCCTAACGTGAAATGAGCTTGAAATGTCTGGGAAAGAAAAAAAGGCCACTGTGGAATAGATAAAGCGGATGAAAGAGGAATATGAAGGCAGTGACATATGTAAGAGCAAAATTATGAAAAGCTTTCTAACCACGGTAAGAAGTTTGGATTTTTTCCTACATTTGATGGGATACCAATAGAGTCTTTTTCTGGGGAGGAACAGAGTTTTGACTGCAGTGTGGTGAGTGGTGAAAGGAATGCTGGGTCATGAGTTGGGAACTGCTGCAATAGCTCAGTTGAGCTGATGGCACTGAACTAGCAGTGGCAGAGAAAAGGGAGAGAGCTAGAGGGATGAGGGGAGTTGAGAGTTTGGTGATGGACTAACTGTATCTTCGAGGTGAGAGAACTGAAGGATGAGTCTTTTGAGACAAATTTACAAGATAGCTTTTAAAAACATAAACTTACCTCTTTCATAAACTGTTCAAACTCTTCATCTAGCTCTTCTTGGGAACAGTCAGCCATAGTCAACAATTTTGACCTCCCAGAGTGAACATTCTAAAGTATATCAAACACTGGAAGCACTAAATGACGAGACATAAACATCTTTCGAGGAAAGCCATCACATCATGAACACGATCAAACTTAAGACATTTCTGTTACGATTTAGTATATATGTACAAATTTTTTATGATATAGTATACATGTACAATTTTTTTAAAGTTGGTCAAGAGATTCCTAATTCTTTATGCAAACAGATTTGGAAAAGCAGCTGACAAGGATGTCTTGTACTCAGCGTTCAGGATTGTTTTCATCCGTTAACATCCAATTGTTAAAGAGTGGTCTCCACAATATTTCCCAAATCTACGTTTGTATGCATGTGTTAATACCACTCAAACACAAACCAGCTCTTCACAGGGAATCTTGAAAACTAAAAGTCAGCAAATCCAAAGGGCTGTTCCTTTCTAGCAAAGCACAAAACAGTGTTTGTGCTACCTGCCCGTTAATTTACCAACACATATTACTAGTTTCGTAATGCAGACTGTATCCAGATTCGGGGATGTTTCAAAATATACATAAATGGAATTTACTAAAAAGATTCAAAATACTTAAAGAATACTTAATCAGTATACAAATCAGTACTAATTGTGCTTCTTTTGAAGCAAGGGAAGAGACAAAAACTGCGCTGAACACAAGCAGAATCCAGTGACTTGCAAGGAAAAACTTTCCCCTATACGCCTAATGAACCCAACCTAAGGTCAACTCCCAGTTCCTGAACTCCTTGGAGCAGCTCAAATCCTAGCTTTCTTCTGCAGAGAAGGGGGAGGGGAGGTGGGCTTGCAGAGGGACAATACCCGCCCTTTTGTGCAGAATAACACCTCTTCCCCTTATTAGCACTTTCGATCAGTTCAAGGCAAGTGCGGTTAAGGTCCTGGCCTCAGTAGCTTGGTGTGAGGCGGACTCCACCAAAAGGTTCTAAAGCCTGGCGGCAACCCGGCCCCACAAAGCGCGGGTTCGGAGGTTGGCGGGAAGACAAAGACGCATTTGCCGTGGGGTCCGGACGCAGAAGGGAAATGACCCGGAAAACTAAAGACCTTGGATCGGGTCTGAGGTAAGACCTCGGCCATGGCGATGTGGGAGGGAAACTAGCGTTCACCACTTACCTCTTACCTCTGCCTCTGAATTCCGCGCTTTCCGGAAAGGTCTGTGCGGGTCCACCAGTTGCCGGGGTAACAAACTTTAGCTGCCGGGCTCTGGAGTCACGTGACCCAGCCTGGTCACATGGTCCGTAGGCCCAGCCCGGTTGCCGTGGGTTTTCCAGTTCCTTTACAAGCGAAGGTCGGAATGACCACGGCTCAGAAAGACACTGGTGGCAAAACCTTCGCTGCTGTACTACAGTTAGCCTTTCCTTCCTTGGCTTTCTCTAACGTTCCTTAGAAAAAGGGACGGCGGCGAACAGGTTACTGAAGAGCGAGACGGAGGCTTCCGGCGGGCTTGGGGAGCACGGTGGTTGCAGGCCAGCCCGTGGCTTTCTGGGAAATGTAGTTTCGCTCCCCTGATTCTTGTGTTTCCTCACTTAGCGTCATCTCTTCCCAGCTTTCCCCACACTTGTCATTCGAGCGTTCTGTTTTTCCAAGCGGCAGTTTTGAAGAGATTGAATTTCTTGGATTTCTTTGGAGTGCAAAGACCTTGTGTTTCTCTCTCTTTGTGAGAGAAACAAACCTGTGAGGAAAAAACTGTCGTTTAGATAGATACTCTGTTCCACCACCTAGTGGACAAGAAATCGAAAATACACAAACACCAAGATTCTTGTTAAGATACCGCTACTTGCCTCAGAGCTTCTCTGGTTATCCGCTACCCCTACTTTTCAAAACTCCATTCTTTACTGGCATTTCACAATCACCAACTTGGGTTTTGTTTTCTGTTTTTATTTTTTTAAAGCCCACAATATTAGCTGTAGTTTCAGAGGACAGCGTTTAGCATAGTGTAAGTAAAATCTACAACAGCTGCAGGTATTGCTAATAGTAGATTTAGTTAAGGACCCCATCTTCAGCCAGATCTGTTGGTTCAGCAAGTCTTTATTGCAATCCAAATATGTACAAGTCAGGAACTGTGCACTACGATGCAAATATGAATGATAAAAGAGATACTGTAAGCTACCATTTATTGAGAAGTTGACTTCCTGCCACATTCTATCAAAGACTTATGTTACCACATATGATCTATGGCCTCTACCCATCCTTCTCACAGATCTTGTTCCACTGGGTCATTCCCCTTAATCCTGTATCTTCAACTTCTGGTTGGCTGTGGGATTTTTCCTAACAGCATTTGAACGTGCTTTGGGATCCCCACCAAAAACACAACTCTAACACACTCTCTTTATTCTATTATTTCCCAGTGGTTGAAATTATCTCTCTCCTCACCTTACTTGCAAATCTTTTCTGAGGAATTATTTCCACTTTGCATCCCTTTTATCAGAACATCGAATCCTGTATGTGTGTGTATAAATGTACGTATATGACAGCACTGTACTTTTCCCCTCTCTTTTTGGTTTTTATTTCACATTTATAGACTCCCCTCAAGGGTTTTCACTGTCTCTATCTATCCTAGTTAACCTCTAAATGTTAGAATTTCTTCTCTTTCCTTTCTTTTCTTTTCTTTCTTTCTTTCTTTCTTTTTTTTTTTTTGAGACAGAGTCTTGCTCTGTCAACCAGGCTGGAGTGCAATGGCGTGATGTCAGCTCACTGCAACCTCTGCCTCTTGGGTTCAAGTGATTCTCCAGCCTCAGCCTCCGGAGTAACTGGGATTACAGGTGCCCACGACCAAGCCCAGATAATTTTGTAGTTTTAGTAGAGACATGGTTTCATAATGTTGACCAGGCTAGTCTTGAACTCCTGACCTCAGGTGATCTGGCTGTCTTGGTCTCCCAGAGTGTTGGGATTACAGGTGTGAGCCACTGCAGCTGGTCAATGTTAGAATTTCTTAGGGCTTATTTCTGGATTCTTATTCTGTCACACTTTATGGTACTTCCACACTTCCACTCATTCAAGACAGAAATCTAGGAGTTTCCTCTCTCCTATATTTTATTTATCAAGACTTGTCAGTGCTATCTCAACAATGTGTCTCTATTCTGTTCACTTTACATCTTAATTACTGATGTCAGAGGCATCATTTCCTCTTGTCTGAACTGCTTTACTAGCCTTCAAGTATCTCTATTTCTAGTCTTATTCTCCTCTAGCCCATTGTCTACAAAATAGAAAAGGTGATCATTTGAAAATGTAAATAAAGTTACTCCATTGCTTAAAATCCTGTAAGGAGTTATCATTGTACTTAGACTAAAATCCAGATATCTACAAGGACTTGTACCGTATGGTTGGCACTACTCTTTTCTATAGCCTCCTCTCATTCCCACTCACCAAGGCATGCAGAATTATTTACAGCACTGGTACAGAGTTCAATCCTATTGGAGCTTTGGTATAAGGAGTGCAGGATGAACATTTTACTGTGTCTAAAGAGTGAATATTCATTTGTCCCTGCATAAATCTATAAAACTTATGCTAATAGGATCCAAATGTTTGTTATGCTGAATTGCTGTAGGGATGTCACTAAATTTTTGATACTCAATTGAATTGTTATATATTTTCAAAATAAAAGTCATTAAAAGAATAATTAATATTTATTGAGAGTTTACGCTGTGCTTATACTATTGTATTCATTTTTATAAAATGAATTGACCTCATGACCTGTAATTAAAAAAAATGTATACTACTAGCTCTCATGATAAATATGTATCTAAAATGTCAATGAAATGGCAAAGTAAGCTGGCTACTTTAGTAGTTAAATCACTCTGTTTAGCATCAAACATTCTTACGTTTATATTCTCCATGATTGTTGCAGGTTTCTCAAGTATTATGTGTTTCTTTTTGTGTTTCCCAGAATAATATGGAATTTGATTTATATTTGGTGTTTATCCAACTCCCTAGTGAGGTTATGGAGGGGAAGACTGTACTTCAAGTCTTATGTGGCCTTTTCTCATAGCAAACAGTACAATGTGGGAACTCAATCAACATTGACAGCATAGCTGCAGCCAAGAACTGCAATTTAAATGGGGTGTAAACTTAGCACATTGTGGGGTTGGATTAAGGAGAAGAACTGAATCAGATACAGTTGCACAATAGTTCCAGTTGCTTGCTTCTTTACCTCTAATTTTCAGAAGGGGGCATTCTCTTCACTTATGTGGATAATGAGGAAGATACTGAAGTAATCGTGTCATTGTAGTCATAAGAAAATTAATGGGGGGGAGGAACTCAAGATGGCGCTGTGACAACAACGCAGAATTTAAGCTCTCGGTTAATCCGCGAAGAGGTGAGTCAAAGCTGCATTTTCAGACGATCTTTGTTGCCCACAGAACGGGGAAATTCCCAAGTATAAAGGAGATGCGGGACACCAGGCAGAGGCTCTGCCTGGAGAAGCCGGCAGCCGGAATGGCGGCGGCCGGCCCTACCCAGCAATCCCCACAAGGTGCGCTTGTCCGGGTGCCCTTTTGAAACGGCAACCTGAGACTTGAGGGGGCTGAACTCGAGACTGAAAGGGACTTGGGTAGTGGGCCAGCGCAGGGGATTGCAGGGACACAGCATGTGGGATAGCACAGTGGGACAGACAAAACAGAGATTCCAAACGCTCGCCGTGGAGACCGTCCCTGAAGTGCTCCGTGGGGGAGGGGCGTCCACCATTACCGAGGCAACCCGCCCGGACTGAGACACGCCCACTGCTGACGCAGCCTGCAGTTGCCGAGGCAACCCGCCCCTACTGAGATACACGCCCACTGCTGACGCAGCCAGCCGTTGCCGAGGCAACCCGCTACAACAGAGAGACTCCGCTGCAGGGCGTAGCCCGTGGTGGAGAACGCAGCAGAAGAGCAAGAGCCTGCAGCAACAGGGCGATCCTCACAACAGCAGGGCGGAGCCTCGGCAGTCAAATAGTGATTAGACTGCCTCCTAGCTGGGCAGGACATCTCAACAGACATCCAAAAACAAAGCCCCAACCCCCCAAGACAGAGGATTTGAGAAAAAAAGGGGTTTTTTTAATGAGCTCTGTTGCAGCAGAATCAAACATAGCAGCCTAACAGCCCTGAATGAACAACAGAGCTCACAGCTCAGCAACTGAGCTCCTATAAAGTACAGACTGTCTCCTCAAGCAGCTCCCTGACCCCTCTACATCCGAAAGACTGACATTTGGCAGGCATCATCCTGGGACAAAGATAGCAGAAAAAGAAACTGGTAGAATCCCTCACTGTTCTGCAGCTGCTATAGGTGTACCCCAGACAAGCAGGGCCTTCAGTGGACCTCAGCAGTCGTACAGCAAAGGGGCTAGACTGGTAGAAGGAAAACCAAGTAACAGAAATACTTCATCACCAACAATCTGGGTGTCCACTAAGAGACCCAATCGAAAAGTCAGCAACTACGCAGACGACAAGTGGATAAATCCACAAAGATGGGAAGAAACCAGCGCAAAAAGGCGGAAAACACACGAAACCAGAACAACTCGCCTCCTACAAAGGACCAAAACTCCTCACCAGCAAGGGAACAAAGCTGGACAGAGAATGACTGTGATGAAATGATGGAATTAGACTTCAGAAGATGGATAATGAGAAACTTTTGTGAGCTAAAAGAACATGTATTAAATCAATGCAAAGAAACTAAGAACCTTGAAAAAAGATATGAAAAAAGATTTGAGGAAATGATGACAAGAATGGATAACTTAGAGAGGAATATGAATGAACTAAAGGAGCTGAAAAACACAATACGAGAACTTCGCGAAGCATGCACAAGTTTCAATAGCTGAATTGACCAAGCAGAAGAAAGAATATCAGAAGTCGAGGATCAACTCAATGAAATAAAACGAGAAACCAAGATCAGAGAAAAAAGCGCAAAAAGGAATGAACAAAGTCTCCAAGAAATGTGGGACTATGTGAAAAGACCTAACCTACGTTTGATAGGTGTACCAGAAGGGGACGAAGAGAATGAATCCAAGCTGGAAAATACTCTTCAGGACATCATCCAGGAAAATTTCCCCCACCTAGCAAGACAGGCCAACACTCAAATGCAGGAAATACAGAGAACACCACAAAGATAATCTGCAAGAAGAGCAACCGCAAGGCACATAATCGTCAGATTCATCAAGGTTGAAATGAAGGGGAAAATACTAAGGGCAGCCAGAGAGAAAGGTCGGGTCACCCACAAAGGGAAGCCCATCAGACTCACAGCAGATCTCTCGCCAGAAACACTACAAGCCAGAAGAGAGTGGGGGCCAATATTCAACATTCTTAAAGAAAAGAACTTTCAACCCAGAATTTCATATCCAGCCAAACTGAGCTTCATAAGTGAAGAAAAAATAAAATCCTTTGCGAACAAGCAAGTACTCAGAGATTTTATCACCACCAGGCCTGCTTTACAAGAGCTCCTGAAAGAGGCACTACACATAGAAAGGAACAACCTGTACCAGCCATTCCAAAATCACACTAAATGCTAAAGAGCATCAACATATTGAAGAATCTACAACAACTAATGGGCAAAACAGCCACTTAGCATCAAAATGGCAGTATCAAATTCACACATAACAATATTAACTCTAAATGTAAATGGACTAAATGCACCAATCAAAAGACACAGACTGGCAAATTGGATAAAAATCCAAAACCCATCAGTGTGCTGTAT